AAGATGATATGATGGACTTATTGCGTCTAGAGTCCTTATTGTGTTTAGAACCCTAACCTTATTGTATTTTCTATCTGATTGCCCGATCATTGTTTTTATATTACTGTGTTACTCAGTAAAAATAATCAAAATCAATATCAAAAACATATTTATTCACATAGACGCTTGCGCGTTCTTATGAAACATCAACATTTTACATAAAAATTAATACGTTCGTAAGTAAGCTATCAGTAAAAACAATGTATATTACTATCCCCACCGCGATAAACTATTCTGCACTCAAACATGTCGTATAAAATATGCGCATTTTACGGGGATAATTTCCTCGCAAAGACTCCTGACCTGATGAATATATCAATCTAAAATATGCCATGTTATCTCAACATCTATATCACAACACACGGAACTCACATAGAAACTTATTCTTATCACAAAAACGTAAAAGCGTGTTTGCAATATTTGATTAAATACGCAACCATCCATGGCATCTAGTCAAGTTCCAACAAAGCGGCAAATGGTATCTTCTCAGTTTTAAAACGCCCAAGTATCTGTGTGGCTTATTTACATTCAAAAATTCGTATGAACGATACAACGCTTTAAAAATCTTATTTTAGTGTCAAAGGCGATACTGAAATAAACGATGCAACGGCATCAGATGAGCATCGTTCATGAATGACATGGAGACAGTATTTTTAGGGTTATTACTTTTTCAAATCCGTTGCTTAGGTACAATATAAAAGCAGAGACATTTACGGCTGTCTGTATTTCTAAAGTTTAACTTGAATGTTTCAATGAAACTTTAAAACAATTCATCATACAAAAAAGATTGTTCGCTGTGAAAAATATCATTTATAATTTTACTGACGAAAACCAGATTGAGTTGTACGACATTTAAATACCAAATTAAATCAGTTGAATATAAAGTAGAGAATTTTTCTGAGACGTGAAAAGGGAATTTTCTTGGTAAAATAAAAATGGTTTATCGCGTGATTTTTTTTTATGCGAGAAGGTGGCAAGCGAACTGGTAGTTCACCTGATGTTAATGTATTTGCAATACAAGGTTATTATGTTATATAGTTGCAAATGCATTATCACCATTAAATAAAGTGGGATCCGGTTACCTCACTCACCAGACGAAACGCATAAGACTTCCACTTCGTGCTGGTCTTCTGTGAGGTCGTGGTACTTCCCTGGACGGACCTATGCAATCGAGCAACAGTGAAGACTTACGCGGGTCTACCATAGTCAATTTGTTTTATCTATTTATTAATTTATTTATCACCAACAAAGCACACACTGTAACAGAATAAATAAACAAGGTTTGCAAAAAAGTGATGAGTGGTACCTTAATTATAGGTAAAAACTACTTTTTAACAGACAGTAGAGACAAAACCAAAAAACTTTTACAAAACTAAATGTGAAATACCAGCATTATAATAATACAATCATTAAACTAAAATACGGTAAAAATAGAAAAAAAAGCAGTATAAAAAGTACTTTACTAAAACAAATATGTTACAATAAAAAAAATATATGAATTGACTGGTGAAGATTTTAACAATTTATATTAACAAGTACTTCTTTTGTTTTTCTATCTTATTAGTAGAGGAATCCCCTCTTAACCCTATCATCCCCCACATGGCAGGGTAATGTAGATATCGTTCATACTAAAAGCTCCTTGGGGGCCACCTTCTATACACTTGGTGGGGCTCTTAAAGAACGCATCTATGCCCTTCTATACTGTGTCTGAGCATGCCTGGGAAAAGGAAGTACCGACGATTCTCTCACCGGCATGAGATTTGACGAACCAATTTTAATTCACTTCAAACAAATAATTTTGTAGCGACAGCGTATTTTTAACTCTATAATAGACGACAAACCCCGCCCTCCTCTACGGGCTTTCAGTCTACTGACAACCAAAGTTGATATATACAGGCGCAGATATATGACAACCCTAATGAACTTACACAAATAATAACCTATAAAGCCGACAGAGTAATTTATGTACTAGGCGTTGTGACACCGACTCCAAATTCGTTGAAAGCTATCAATCTTCGTGAACTCATACAAGTTTTCACATCTTTTTATTTCATAGTGGTAGGCAAAAATAATTACTAACGCCCACATTTTAGACCAAAACCTACCATCCATGTACTAAGGTTAAAGGGGTAAGAGCTTGCTATAGCAATTTATTCGTATTTAATTTTGAAAAAGAAATATATATATATATATATATATATATATATATATATATATATATATTTTTTTTTATATATTTTATATATATATATATATATATATATATATATATATATATATATATATATATATATTTCTTTTTCAAAAGTAAATACAAATAAATTTGAAACTCCGATAGGACAAAAGATGTTTATGGCATTCACATGGCTACATTTCATGTGCCATATTAAGTATATTTGGCATGCACTTTAAAATATGCATGTCAAAATAGCGCATGCATATTTAAGTAAAGCTATATTAGTGAAATATCAGGTGAGTTTTCTCTTGTTAAAATAAATTCGATCGCAATGGTGTCGTTGGGAAATAAAGATCTATTTGTATTCAAAGGACAGCGTCGTTATAGAAAACGCCAGCGCTATCGAATTTCAATAACGCTTCGGGTTCCCATTGTCCGGATTTGAATTCGAGTAGCGAATGGTCACGTCTCGATATTAACAGTCGTTGATGTCGCTCGTGAAACGTGGAAAATGAAATCCGAACAATACGTATACACTAACTATACATTCGACATTTTTTCCACAAAGTACAAAAGGTTATAAAGTAAAACAAATAGATGAGATCTATATAAGTCGAATGTTACTGTGTTCAAGGTAAGACATGACAAGGATAAAGAGCGGAGAGTGAACGCAGGAAATAAGATTAATAGGACGTTTCTGTCTATTGTGGGGGAATCGTGAATGTGTTAATGAAGGCAGTTCTGTAAATTTCGCATTCCGCATTCTTATACGTTTTTTATGACGGATAAAAGAATATGGTAAATTTGTAAATTACGCTAGTTGTGTTGTGATAGACATGTTACGAAATATTATAATCAGGAAGTTGTACAAAAGAAAAAATATTGTGAAGAAAGTAAATAAGATTCGCTTCAGTTGGGCTTTTTTATGACCCACACAATATTAAAACAAAATACTATAATAACCCACGAATCCAATTGTTAGTGGCGTAAGCCTCGTCTTGGCGAAACCTTTTTAATTAAAACCTCTTTTAATCACAAATTTGTTGATTATACAGATTGATTGTATTGTATGTGGTTCGATGACTCCGTGGCGCTGTCGCCAAGGTATTGGCTTCAGCGTCGGGGGTCGTGGGTTCGATTCCCACACGAGACAACTATTTGTGCGACCCACATAATTATAGTTGTTTCGCATCTGTGTTTGTCCACGTGAAATTTATGTATGTAAAACGTCCTTACAAAACAGGATAATGTTATCCTAAAGCAAGGGCAATCTTTTTAATAAAAACTACAAACTGAAAAAACTACAAATGAATGCATATCATCATTATCTAGGTGGGGTTGGCACCTGTTATAAGTGGTTTTGGCTATGTTTTTAATTATCACCCGCCTGCCTAACCTCAACCCCCCTTAGAAAAAAACACCCTCAACATTGTTTGTGGGTCACACAAATACCTGTCCCGTGTGGGCATCGAACCTACGTCTCCTGATGCCGAAGCCAATAACTTAGCAAATTAATATAATCAACCCCTCAACATTTAGGCTTTTTAACCTTTTAACCCGTTTTCTGAAATTGAATGAACAAAGCACGAAATTTGTAATAACTGACGAATTCTTCTTTTGACCTCGATACGACGAGGCGTTATCGACGCAACAAAAAAACTTTGGCCTTATCTCTAACTAATTTTCGTTCTGGGTCGGTTCCTATTTAGATACGGACGTAGAGATAAAATAAAAAAAAACACAATCCTTGAATACCGTTACTAAGCCCAACTTTTCATCTTTATCCTTGAAAAAAGACCCTTCTGTTAAATTTAGACGTCCTTTATTGACTATGAATATTAAACCAAATATATTAGCATGATATTCCCCTGACTCAACGAAGAAATCGGATGAAACAGTTTAATTAGAAAAACATTAAATAATATTATCTTGTATATTTTCTGTTTAAATGATTTTTTCTTTTATTTATTTGACAAGTATGTAATAAAAATTAAGAAGCAAACTAATAATTTTCTCATAAAAAGAATCTAAATCATTTAGATTTTTTATGCACCATACTGCATATGGCAAAATGTGTATTTTATTTCTTTTATCGGAATAAGTTTATTAAATATTTAAATCAAATTTTGACAGGGTTTAAAATAAAAATATAAGTTATTCATTGAGTATTTATTTTGAGCTTCCCATAACACGGACAAAAATGCATATTTTGAAAATAATTAAACTGCTATTCACTGACGGCGCCGTATACATAGAAGATAAACGCATTCAATAACGCTTAGAAGAGATGCCCCGAAGAAAACGCCACCCACGCCTCCAATGTCCACTGGAAAAATCATAAATAGATAAAATTTTCAACATTTATGTTAGTCTGGATTATTAAAATCTCGAAGTCAATCGCCTTTTTAATATAAAACGTCGCCATATGCATATTGTTTTATTGGAATAACAACCAAATAACGGAACTCACTTCGCGGTTGCACGAATGGGCAGGTCCTTGCGGGAAATTACCACACCTCTCAGAAGAGGAGTGAAGTGGAGAGGTTATATATACTTCCGCGTTTCATCTGATGAGTGAGGCAATTAATTAGACGAGGGCAACTTCATTAAAAGGGTTCATCCAAATCCCTACATCCCTACGGGTGTTGCAAATGCCAATGGACGGCGGTCACCACTTAATATCAGGTGAACCGCCAGCACGCTTACCATGTCTTAAATAAAAAAAATGCTTGAACCTTTTGTAACCAGGCAAGGCATTATTGAGGGTCAGCTAGTTCTCTGAATAATGGTCAACAGGGGCAAGGTACCGATCAAAATGTGCCCGCAAACACAACCGATCCATACCCACAAGACCGAGCGTGTCCCTGATGGCAAGACGCCGCACTCGAAGCGATGGCAGCTGCGCCAGCCTCACTACTCCTCTCGTGCCACGCGCTGCCAACGCCGCATTGCCACTGTGACGACTGTTGAGGACATACGAGTAGCACAAAGTCAACATCGATCGCAAACTCGTGGATAATACAATGTTTTTACTACAAACCGAACAATTTTAAAAAATGCTCTGACATGTAGTGTGATAATAATGAAGCACACGAAACCATCATGGTAAAAAGGTAAAAGGTAAACATTCTTAATATATTACGAAACGAAAGTTTGTACAATAGCTTGCTTCAGTTCAGTTTATTGGATCAGTTCTAGCAGTAGTTGTAGCGTTTGTCCAATCGTACGAATAATATTTTACACGCCAACTGATACCCGCATTTTCGTTTGCGTTGCTTTTTGAACCCCTATTTAAAATAGGTATGCTAGGTCTATACTATCTTCAGGGTGGCTTATAACGCCATATAATTCTGACCTGAATTAGGTACAGTGTTATAAGCATCTATTGGCATGTGGTCGAAATTGGATCCAACACTGTCATCTTGTGAAAAGTCAAGATCGTTGTTCCTTAAAACTTTAATATCTATATATTAAATGATTATATCACAATTTATTTTTAGATAAGGGCCAAGTGAATAAGAAATAAAACTAAGAAGAATTATTAATAGATGCGCGAACGGTAGTACACTGTGGTAGGGCCACGCAAAAGCTTGTGTTGTTGCACGAATGGGCAGGCTCGTCCGGGGAAGTACCACGGTCTCACAGAAAACTGGCGTGAAGTGGAAGTTATTATACTTTCGCGTTCCGTCTGGTAAGTGAGGTAGCCGGGGCCCACTTTTGTTAAGTTTGCCAACGCATCTATAAGCCCCTCGGGTGCTGTGCGGGCGGCAGTATCCACTTAACATCAGGTGGGCCGCCTGCTTGCTTGACAAGTTTACACAAAAAAATACCTCTATAAATGTTTGATTATATTTATATTTAAAAATAATATTATTCCACTTAAAATTTTGTAACAGTATAAATGGAAATAATTTAATCAGTGTGAGGTAACTAAATTCGTTCGGGAAAATATTTCGAACAGTTTAACTTTTTTATTCGTAGGTAGTCGCTTTTTTCTCGATGTTCCCCGATTCAAAAAGTTTCAATCTACACAAATATATTCGACTGACACAAATAACTTTGATTGCGGTGCTTTTCCGAAACACGTTTTATCTGAAAAGCCTATAAGTCACTTTGCCAATTTCCTTTTAATGTTTTACAATACTCACGTGAAGAATCTATGAACCAACTTGTAAAGAATTTCCTCACAACCCATCGGACAAGTGCACACGGGATTTTCAAGGGACTCTAAAAAGTCAAATTATTAAAGTCAAAATTAAGGAGTTTATTCTATTAAATTTCAATTAAATGAAGTAAACTCCTTAATTGTGACTACAATTTCTCTGCATATTTCCCTCATGTAACTAGTGTAGCAGGTTTTTTTAACTATTTCATTAACCAATTGATTGAAACCCATTATTTTATAAATATGTACTTAAACCTTAGGTTCGCATGTATCTTGAATTTATAAAGAAAAGATTGATATTATATATCAATAATGTATATAAGAAAATTAAGAAAAATTATCTGTACCTTTATTTTTATTGAGACAAATCAATCCATTTATGTCGCATACTGGGATCTTAGCTGAAATTTTTTTTAATCATTTTTCAATATAATTTAAGAATAAATAAAAAAAATTCTAGAATATATTATTACGATAATATGTTAAAATGTTTATCTTCTAATTTTGGTAAATGACAAAGTTTCGTTGTAGCGTCCTAAGGGCAATCATCAAGACATCTGACGTCTTCTGGTTGATGATAATGATGACGATTTTAGCAATAATTAACATATTACTAGTAGTAATTGTCACAGCGGCGACAATCTTTTCGTACTTTTTCTACATGTTTTAATAGTAATTGTCCATAAATCTTCTAGTCCATAGTAGGATGAGCAAGAGTACATTTAGATTTTTTATTATCATAAAATTAAAATCGATATTATTGGCAACGTCTTTATGACAACTCGATTTTGTGATCACTGTAAAAATGTTTTCGAATAGCTCAACTACTAATTGAATAGTAGTTACACATATATAAAAAACGGTCTATATATTCTTACATATATACTGCTTTTTATATAAAAGCCCATTCTCAAAGTCGTGCAACGCATCTGAGACCCCACAGGTGTTATGTTTGTTGGGGGAGGGAGGGTTAATCACTTAACATCGGGTGTTATTACCAAATTCTCAAACAAAAAAGAGTTGGTAGCCAATAATCTGTCAATCTATTATCTTTCGATTTTACAAATCTTCACAAAATGACCGTGAGTGAGAGACATTTCCAAGATGGCATTAAAGGAGATTTGTCGGTTTGTAAATAACCCGGAAGTGGCATGTTATGTTTTCATCACTTAAAACTTTTAGGACTATTTTTTATTCCGAGATTATCCGTTCTACAGTTAGTGTGAACAAATTCTATATTATTAACACGAGATTAGGTCTTGAATGTATTCCCGTGCGAAACGTAGCCAGCTAGTACTTAGGCAAACTGACCAATATGCGGCATTAGATGATGGGTGCAGTTGCAGTAATCAAACTGGGACATCGCCCTGCAGTACAAGATGCACGCGCCGTACGAATATTTTTTGAAGGGCCACTTGTCTGCGAAGTCCGGGCGCTCGTGACCGTACAGGCAGTGACGTATCTCCGGCTGCAGAGTGGAAACTGACACATCGCTGACGGTCTGCTCAGCCTGAGGGTGTATAGTTCCATTAATTGCGTTTCTCTTCACACGCTGCCCTATAGTCGCGAGAGCTCAGTGACGGGGCGATCGCTTTTAATTCAACATACTGACCTGAGTTCAAATACCTTCTGTACTAAGGAGGCCTTTGCCGCAATGGAACTTGTATAGGCTCTACTTTACTATCCTAAACATCGGTCTGTGTTAAAAAAAGAAAGCGGTGCCTCAGGGGTTTTGGATGTTGATGCGCAGATGTTGAACTTAAATCGAATCGAATCCTAGTGACATGCACCAGCGACTACTTTGAGATATCTCGCGTCCAAAACAATTCCTCATATTTGTACCAACAAACCGATTCCAAATGACGATCAATCATACAATCACTATTGCAATAAATAATTTGTATAAAATTTCTTTACAAAATACTTATTCTATTTATATTTAAAGTTATTTGGTATTCCCCAATATCCGCTTATACCAAACTTTTTTTTCCCTTACTTATTTCCTTTGAAGCTTTTGTACATTTATTTCACGTTATTATACTTTAATTAGAGTTCAGGAATTGATAACTGCATTTCATATTTAATTCTAACAACTCATCTTGAAAAACAGCTGAATAGAAATAATTCAAATTCGTTGATCTCTACGCTTTTAATGTGATTCTGTCAAAATAAATCGCGATTAAACCCGTAAATAAACATATTCAAAACTTATATATGTGTAAACAATGACGCAAGATGTTCTGATTTACCTTTAATATAACTTCAACGTCAGTTACAAACGGGAGTGAAGCAGAAGAACCCAGCACGTTGTCCATCATTGCTGACACTACGTCATCAGGGCCATGAACTCTTATCTGATATATATAGAAAAAAACATTGTATACAATGTCTTTTTCCTACAATTGTAACTTGTTGTAGAAAACAACATTTTTACAATATTTAAAATTTACTAAATTATACGCTATTGATTATACCGAACCAGTGAAAAGTTAAAAGAAAAGTATATTATTATTACTATAACTATATTAGAGAAAAGGTTCAGAAGTTCTAACGTTTCATAACTTTGATTTCTGATTCTAAAAGAAAGTTTAAATTCACTTTCTTTTTAATCTTATTATATTTAATCAATTTAATCTGTTCTTTATAAATAATTATTTATAAACTTTTATGTTCTCCCAAGAATCTTAAAACATTTTTATTCTTATTCTCCAAATATATACAATTACATATCTCTAGTGCTTGCGAGACTTCAACTATTATCCTAATACTAACAATTATTGTTGCATGAAAACATGTCTAGGCTACTTTAGACATTAAAAAATACAATCTCACCCAAATGGCTTCCATGGCCGTGAATACGAGAGAAGGCAGTCCGACTTTGCGATTCACAGTCAAGATATTTGAAGTATTGCCAGCCAATCCAGAGTTGAAGCTATAACACACACCGTATTCTGTCTCCGTGGGAATAAACCTGCGTGGATATACGTATTACATATTCTTACGCTAATAAAACTGTCCCTTGAAAACTAAGTTCAGCTTGTATAATAAAACAATAATTCGATCTAAGTTTATGGATCTGAATTAGAATATGACATTCTCAAGGCTTAGAAATAGGCTTTACTTAAAGAGAGAAACTTTCACAGTGATATTACCAATCATAAATAACACCAAATGAACAGAAAACAAGTACGTATTAATAAGTAATCAGACAAAAGATTCAAACTCAACTAGAGACAGAGACGAAATCTTTGTTAAATGTTATGACAAAATTTTTGATCTGTCCATCAGTCATATAAAAGATTACATAGGTACCTAGGGGTTTATAAATCCTATATTAGAATAGAAAATATATATGAATGATCCCTCGTACCTGTCACAGCAGCGAAAAGGCTTATCTGCCCACCAACAGTCGGTCAAAAGTTGACTGCATTTCAGTCGAAGTCGCTTCACGTGCTTCGCGAAATCATCAGCACAGGTAATATTAGGCTTACAGTGGTTGCAGGTCTTGCAATACTTAGCGTTCCAGTAGACAACGTCCTTGTAGAAATTCGAGAGAGATGTCGGAAGCTTGTTTCTTTAATAGAGAGAACGTGAAAGATGGATAGAGAGATTTTAAACCTATTGAAGGTTCACCTACATTACAAGTAAGATGAGAGATGAGAGCCCAACGAAGAATGCTCGCTTTTAATTCAATATACTCGAGCAACTTGAGTTCGATTCCCGGTGCCGGCGCCAAAGAAATTCTTAATTTTAAGTGCTGAATTATCACGTTCTCAACGGAGATGGAAAACATCGTGAGAAAACCTGCATATTTTCGAAATAATAACAAAAAATATTTCGAAAATATGTAAAGTCACCAATCCACACTGGGGCCGCCTGGTAGATTAAGTCCTGTACACAGGAGCAGCTATAGGCTGCTAGTTACATGTATAGGCTGACTTTTTGGGGCTTGTATAAAATATTACAAGGCAATTTTAAATGCTACTTATAAAATAACATTGACATATACATGAAACACAACAGAAGATTTTAGGGAACAATTTCTTACGCTGTCAGATAAGCTTTTACTCTCTCAGCCCCTGCTGACTCGCATACACTGAGTGCCGGAAACGGTGTATCCCAATCAAGGTAATTAGTCTCCACGGAGAAAGACACAGCCGCCTCCGTGTACAAATTCAGCGAAGATCGCAGCATTGTCAACGCACCGAAACTGCTTATAGCTAATATAGTTATCCAGAACACTCTGTAAGTAGTAACATGAGAAGTTACAAATATCGTTGGTAATTTCAGAAATCAGAGATCAATGCATCATCAATCAATATATATCAGATAAGTCACCTTTTGAAACGGGATATTTGAGATGCGGAAACCACGTGGCCAACACCGTGCAAACTGCTTCCATCACCGAAGAAGTTCACAGCGCTCTTGACTTTTTGCATACTAATTTATTGTATACTTCTGAATAACCTATGAGAAAACTAATTTTTTTTTTTAATGTGAAAGGTTGCCAAGCGAGCAGGCGGTTCACCTGATGTTAAGTGAATACCGCCACCCATGGACATCTGCTACACCGAGGGTTGCAGATGCGTTGACAATCTTTTGAAAATTGGGCTTCGTCTACCTCACTCACCAGACAAAACGCGAAAGTATTATACTTCCACTTCACGCCCTTACCCGGACGAGCCTGCCCATTCGTGCAACAGCCGAGGCTGCTGCGTGGCCCTACACCGTTGAAATCTGTATTTAGAAATCAAATAAGAGTTGTGAAAATCAATATAAATGTAACTAGATAGCCAAAGAGCAAGAATGAAATTACTTACAAAAACATAGCAGAACGTAGAAGAATACAAAAGAAATACGATAGAAAATAGAGCACAATTGGCAACAAAAAATGTAAGATACATCATCAAGAAACCAACTAATACCAAATATTATAAAATAAATTTAGCGGAGACGACGCTAGCGAGGTAGACGAGGTAGGCAAGGTAACGAACATGTCAAAGGGCTAGATGGTTGTTTGGGTTTCATCCACGTAATCAAGTTCCTTAGAACACATAAAGTTTCTTTTCAATTCTTAGAACACATAAAGTTTCTTTTTAATCCAAAACTGATCAGCACTTGACTGACTGACAGCACCTGATGGCAAGTGGTGATGCAACCGTTGATGGTAAGCATGCTAGTTCAGTAAAGACCTATTCACTCGGTTCTTATTCACTAAGTTTTTTTAACTGTATTTTCGATATTAAGTGTACAGAAACACAAAAATTAATGCAAGATCGAAAGATCAAGCTGATCGAAAAGGCCATCGATAATGCGAGTCACTCTTGGATACTTCTCAAATGAAAGAAACTTTATTTGTGGCACCCCTGTCCAGAGATGATAATTCCAATTTTGAATCTTGTTTATAAAGTTGGAAACCGAGAGGTTTTAGGGCCTAAATTCCTTTTCGCAATTCCTGAATTATTAGATGCATAATTGAACGCTACTATTACAAGCAATAGAAGCATGCATAATTGACAAAATCGTCCGCTTTTGTCTAGTCTTAGGGCATTATTTTCCAACTTTCCCATTCTCTTTCGCAACATAAATTATTTTGCATCAGTCTGTATTAATTGTATTGCCAACAATAATAATATTATTGCCAATTGTTACTTCTTAACTCTTTTTTTTCCTCTCATTTTTAATATGACATTTCTTACCTTTTTATTAGTGTCACCTATGCTTAATACATTATTTAAAATGTGACGATAATTACTTTAAATTTGTACATAATATACAATTTTTTTCCCCTTTTCAATACTCCACATGCACAACCAGTTTTGTGAATCTAGCTGAGCTTATGAATCAGTTATAATTACAGTAACTACAATTACTTGCATGATGCGAATTGTTCCAGCACGAACTCCTAATGCATTTTATATGTTTTAAAATATTTCAATATCCTGTTGAATACAGTTTCTAAATTAGGTTAGTATGATAAAAAGTTTATTTTACCAATGTTTACGATTACAATACAAATAACAATATATTTTTCAATCTCAACTAAAGACGTATTAAAGATTTTATTGATTTTTTTTTCCTTTAATAAAATAAATGCAAAGTTACTTTAGCAAAGCTTTGCATATACTATCGTCAAATTTGAGATGGACAATTTTATTTAAGCAAATGTTGGATGACGTGTCTCATGTATTCTCGGAAAAGCTGTAAAATATTTTTTTTTAATGGAACAGTTACATTTTACTGAAATTAAACACATAATAACATGCAAAGAATTCAACTATTTATATTCACACATTCGACACTTGCTTTTACATTTGATTCGTTTAGCAACATCTGTGATAGTCGCAAAATAGATACTGCCATGAATTCAAATGATAGCAAATACATCAGCAGTTTTCGCACCACAGAGATTGTCGCGAAATTCAATTTTGGATCCAACCGCTAGATTGGAAACAATCCCAACCCGTTACGTGAAAATGTTTCGCGATTCTATCTGAACTATTCTATATAACTAAATTTGGATGTATTTTTGTGCATTTTCTTTGTCAGAAAACATTAAATTTATTTTTTATTTGTTTATTCTTTATGCACAAACATACTTACAAAGTTGAACTTAATGTCATTAGTATTGTCTGCCAGTCAACCTTGCAAAGTTTAGTAAAGAACTGTGGTAAGGCCAACCAAGCAACAGTCTTTGTATTTTTAGAATGTTATGAATTTAATAGAAGAAAATTATAATTCAAAGTAATAAGAAAATCTTGTTTATAAAGCTAAAAGAATTAAAGAAACGTATCAGAGGAATTTAAAATCTTAACATGATTTAAGATAAAGTAAAAAGTCATTGGAACACGGCACGCGTTTTTTTAATTAGCTTGAGGGCTATGTATGGTCACTTCTGTGTCCGTAAGCGCCAGCGTGGGCAAGTCCTCAATAAAAGCACACACTGGATAAAACTGTTTATTAGTTATATTAGCCATGTGGCAAATTATGGTTACACAAGCAATACACTATATGAAACATCAGAGCAATATAGTACCACAAATGATATGGTAATATTCCACAAGTTAGAAAATGCTCGTATAATTACGTGTCCATTGTTCCTCTCTTAAACTCTGTCTAAGACATGTCGTCTCTATTCCGAACTCGCGTTCCGGAAATGCGTTGTTGAGTGCGTTCGGAAACACCACACGTTGTTGGTGCGTTCGGAAACGCCACACCACCCCCCTATGGAGAAGGAGAATCCGTAGGAAATTTAAAGGTCAAAAGGTTTGGAGAAATGGACTCTACGACCAGACCGAGTAGTATACTGAGGTGTGTGTGAAGGAGAAGAAGCAGGAAGGGGTACGGATGGTACGGTAGGAGAAGAGGATGTCCGAGTAGTATCTAGTTGGGCAGGTTGAGGCACAGAAATACAAGGTGGTGATGCCGGAGAAAATGAATCCGTAGGAATCGGATGTTCGACAAAAGCTGGCTTGAGTCTGTCGACGCTAACCGTCATCTGCTTACCATTGACTTCTATCGAGAACGTCTTCCCGTCCTTGGCTCTAGAAATCACCTTATGAGGGCCGGAGTAGGGAGGCTGCAGAGAGCGACGAACAGTATCGTTCCTAAGCATGACGTATAACGCTGTAGCGAGATCCTTAAAAACGAAAGGAGACGACTGTGTATGTTGAGAAGCTGGGGTGGGACGCAATTTGGACATATGTTGTCTTAATTTGCAGACAAAATCCGGAAGCTCCCCAAAGCCAGAAACTCCAGAAGATACCAATAGTTCTCCTGGGAGTAACAAGTTTTCTCCATAGAGCATTTCTGCTACTGTTGCCTGTATATCTTCCTTAAACGCAGAACGCATCCCCAAGAGGACTAAAGGCAATGCGCTTAACCAGGAATCATCATGGCACATAAGAGAGGCTTTTAACTGCCTATGCATGGGCTCAACGAGTCCATTGGCACAGGGATGGTAACTAGTGGTTCGAATACGTTTAGTACCGCACATGTCGGTGAGGCGTTTGAAAAGGTCCGACTCAAACTGTCGTCCCTGGTCAGTTGTTATGACAGCAGGAACACCGAATCGAGAAATCCAGCCAGCCACGAAGGTACTTGCCACCTCTTCCGCAGTTATACCACTCATAGGCCATGCTTCTGGCCACCGAGTATAACGGTCTATAGCGGTAAGGCAATATTGAAAACCAGAACAAAATGGCAATGGCCCGATGATGTCAATATGGACATGTTTTTAGTCGTGATGTGGGGCTGGAAAAGTGTCCGGGCGGAGATTGTGTATGCCGTGTTACTTTGCTTCTTTGGCAAGGCACACACGTTTTGCACCATCTGCGGCAGTCTTGGGACATGCCAGGCCAAACGAAACGGTCAGATACCAGTCGTATAGTGGCTCGGGCGCCAGGATGGCTAAGGTTATGCAGCTGGTCAAAGATTTTCTTCCGCATAGGTTCCGGGACAAACGGTCGCGGGCGTCCGGTGGACGTGTCACAGACCAGAGATGATGTAGTGCCAGGAACGATGATATCCTCCTCTAGCTTAAGAGAAGAATTTGTATCGTTACGATACTTCTTCAATTCATCGTCGAGTTTTTGGCAAGTGGCGAGGGCAGAATGGTCAGCTTCGAAGCTGATGGCTTCGATGCGGGACATGGCGTCCGCCACCGTGTTGTCTGTCCCCTTTACATGGACTATGTCCGTCGTGAATTGAGAGATGAAAGAAAGTTGGTTGAGCTGTACGGGCGGCAGCCTCTCGCGACGTTGCGCAAACGCGTACACTAGCGACTTGTGATCCGTGTAAATTTTAACGTGTTGCGCGGCGAGAAAATGTCGATAATGCTGCACGCTCTCATAAACAGCGAGCAACTTTCTGTAGTAAGCTGGCCATTGGGACTGTTTGGGTTTCAGCTTTTTGCTGAAGAAACCTAAGGGTTCCCAATCATCTCCTACTTTCTGCTGAAGGCAAGCACCGACGTGAGAAATGGAGGCGTCTGTGAAGAGACCTAACTCAGCGTTAGGAAGTGGATGGGCCAGAAGAGCAGCAGACGTTAAGCTGTCTTTACAAGCCTTAAAACTTTCTTCGAGCTCAGGTGTCCAAGTGACTGGTGTGGGACCTTTGCCTTGGGAAGCAACGATCGCGTCGATGAGCGGTGCTTGCATTTCTGCAGCATTTCGCAAAAATCGGCGATAATAGTTGACCATCCCTATAAAACGGCGGAGTCCTTGTACGGTCTTCGGAAGAGGGAAATCTTGCAATGCCTGAATACGCTCTGTGCTCGGTGGTCTTGTTCCTAAGGCGGAAATGCGGTTACCGAGAAAGGTCACCTCGGGAACACCAAATTCGCCGGATTAATAACAATTCCGTGGTCTTCAAGACGTTTGAAGAGAATACGGAGGTGCTCGGCATGCTGACGGGCACTTTTCGAATACACCAAAATATCGTCGATGTATGCATAGCAAAAATCAAGTCCCTCGGTGACTTCGTCAATGAATCTTTGGAACGTTTGGCCAGCATTGCGGAGGCCGTACGTAATGTAATGAAATTCATATAGTCCGAAGGGTGTTATTAGGGCGGTTTTGCAAATGTATTTGTTGATAGGCCTTTACGAGGTCGATCGTACTAAATATAGTACAGCCAGAGATATTATGACCAACATCGCCAATATGGCGGACCGGATATCGATCAGGTACTGTGCGCGAATTTAACGCGCGGTAGTCCCCACAAGGTCGCCAGGTGCCGTCTCGTTTAGGAACCATGTGGAGGGGCGAGGACCATGAACTTTTTGAAGGTCTAGCTGTGCCACACCGCACCATGTCATCAAAAACTTTCTTAGCTTCTTGAAGCTTTTGAGGCGCAAGGCGTCTAGGGCGACATGAGACGGGGGCTCCCTCTGTGGTCAAGATGTGGTGAACCGTGCTATGCTTCGGCTCCCGAATAAGACCAGGCGGCTTAGTGATTGACGGGAATTCCGCCAAAATTGCGCTGAATTCCGACGGAGGAGCAGACACCACTTTGATGCTGGTCTGACCTAATATTGCGATGACAGCAGCGCATGATATGCCAGTACCGCTGTCCATAAGTCTTTTATTGGCACAATCTAGCAATAGACGGTAGTGTGCCAAAAAGTCTGAACCAATGATGGCAGTGCTGACGTCAGCGACGATGAATCGCCAATGAAAGTCGCGACGCAGTCCTAGGTTCAATGACAGTTGTATAAAACCAAATGTGCGAATCTCACTACCATTAGCAGCAGCCAGTGTATAGTTCGATAGCGTTGGCTTATTGGCTAACCACTGGTATGGGTAACAGGAGAGATCTGAGCCTGTGTCAATTAAAAAACTGGCGCTTCGATACGCTTTCGGTGACAAATAATCGGCGACTCTCCGGTAAGCAGTCAGTCGTCGCCGCTAATGACTGCTGTTCGAGTTTTCCGAAGGCGGCGGCGTCCAGGTGCAAGGCTTAACGCACTTAGATGCTTTGATCCCATACTTCGTGTGGTAAAAACACATTTTAGACTTACCGGTTGTTTGCGAGCGATCACGCTGGTTTGAGCGACCCCGTAACCTATCCCTACCGCGTTCAGCAGTGAGCACTGCGATCTGGCGAGTAAGCTCATCTAGGCGCCGTGTGATGTCATCGAGCGATAAAGATGAGACGGCTGGAGTGTTAGCTGAAAAGACGGTCGGTGAGCGAGGTGTGCCTAGACCAGGAGAAACTTCCAAAATTTTGTCCGCTAGCTCAGCAATTTTGTCAAGCGACAGTTCAGACTGAGCGGCCAAAATGGCCTGAAGGTGCTGTGGTAGGCGGCGCATCCAAAGTTGGCGGAGTAAATTTTCGTCCGTGAGAGCGTTCCCAGCTAACGACCTAAGATGTCGCAAAAACTGCGAAGGGCGACGATCGTCAAGCTCCTCATCGCTAACAAGCTGACGGACATGTTGTTCCTCTGATGCTGAGAGCCTACGAATGAGCTCTGACTTTAACCTACCATACTTGTCTTCAGACGGTGGTTGAAGAATAATATCCTCCACTTCTCCAATTATGCGGGTATCCAGCTGAGCGATGACATAATTAAATTTAGTTAAATCTGTGGAGATACCAGAAATTGTGAACTGGGCCTCAGCCTGTGCGAACCAGATGGCAGGCCGATCTGCCCAGAAAGGAGGAAGCTTAACAGAGACCCTACAAATTGAGGGAGATTGAGAGGTAGAGAGATCATTGGGTGACGTGTCTCTGTGTTGTGTGTTGTAATACTGTTAGAATGCAATGCTTTAAATTTTTCTAGTTCGGCAGTTAATAATGCATTTTGCTGCTGTAATAAGGAATTTTGTTCACTTAGTACATTTAAATTAGGCTCCATGGTTAAACAGATGACAATATGATCTTATATTTAACAGTATTTAGAGTATAAGTCCTCAATAAAAGCACACACTGGATAAAACTGTTTATTAGTTATATTAGCCATGTGGCAAATTATGGTTACACAAGCAATACACTATATGAAACATCAGAGCAATATAGTACCACAAATGATATGGTAATATTCCACAAGTTAGAAAATGCTCGTATAATTACGTGTCCTTTGTTCCTCTCTTAAACTCTGTCTAAGACATGTCGTCTCTATTCCGAACTCGCGTTCCGGAAATGCGTTGTTGAGTGCGTTCGGAAACACCACACGTTGTTGGTGCGTTCGGAAACGCCACAAGCTTTTTATCATAAGAATAAACGTAATTCAAATGTTGCTATGCCATCAGCAAGTTATGATTCTGATAACGCTCATAACGGGGAATGAATAACTTTTTGTTAGTGTTCCGTACTCAAAGGGTAAAACGAGAACCTATTACTAAGACTCCGCCGTCTATCTGTCTATCCGCCTGTTCGTCAGTCCCCAGGCTGTATCTCATGAACCGTGATAGTTAGACAGTTTTAATCACAGATGATGTATTGCTGTTGCCGCTATAGCAACAAACACTTAAAAACAGAAAAAAAAATATTTAAGTGGGGGCTATTATTTTGGTACCAAATTGTTACCATATATGTTATCAGTCATTTTGTCATTGATTTGGAAATATATGAAGATGATAAAGTAAGACCTATCGTTTGGCGAAAGCAATGTTATATTGTTAAGTTATCGAATAAAAATTTTTCGGAAATTCGGCCTAAGGATCATATTAGCCTAAAATGTGAAGGAAGGAAGGGAAGGATATATGAATAGTGTAAATGATGTCTTAAACACGTATTTTTTACATGTTTTAAGTGAGTGTATTATATGATGTAGACTTGATGATTGGTATACCAAATTTACAAAAATTGCTAAGCCACCCTACGAATAACAAACAAATCGTAAGATTTGTAGCAAAAGTATTTATTACTAATCGTACTTTGTGTTTGTGCACATCTTCAAAGAATTGTCCAATATAGTCAACTTATATATTTCGAGCGATTTTACTGATTACAATATGAGTGTCCAGAAGGTGGTGACCTTTTGCTGAGTTCTTACCGTCAATTGTAATATTGATAAATGCTAGTGACCAAAACACAAAATTTATTAACTAAGAGTACATATCTAGAAACGTACAAATATCAAGCTCTAATACGCAACAAATTTTGCCGCGCAAGTTGTACAGAATGAAATCGAAAGTTATCTTTATAACGTGCGCAGATCGTTATATTTAACGCTGATCAGTAAGTAATGAGAATAAAATGGTCCCACTTATCGCAATCAAGCAAACGTGCTACATGTTTATCGTGGATTCCGCTTCTCTAACTACAAACAAGTACTATCTCGCTAGTTCGCTATCGGCTTCGGTAAAACAGTCCGAGAACAGACGCCGCGTGCGACGCTCCCGCGCACGAAATGACCGAAAATAGATCCAGACCTTGAGGATTCCGCGTACAAATTTTCAAAATACGAATGCTGTCCGGTAAAATTTTCGAAAGTGCGTGCGACAGAGTGAACATGATCGGTCTAAGCAAGGTGGGAGTGAGACAGCTGACTAAGTGGAAGGAATATCGGACGTTCGCCCGGCTGAAGTACCATTCCGGGGTGGGAGTGTTCGGACATCGACCGCGCGATGCCGTCGAAACCGGTATTTATTCAAAGACGTCGATATAGCACGTTATGCATATGTCGTAGGTCGCGGTTACTTTGATGCGGTGCACGCTATGAATGAAGTAATATTAATAATAGCTTGGAAGCTTTGTAAGCTAAACGTAAATATTCATTATCCACCATGCGGTTAAATTCAAACCTAGTTTGTTTATGATCATGTGATAATCTTTAAATATTTTATCGTTTTCTAGTTACCAAATGCAACTATGTAATTAATTACATTCAAGTCTAAGAATATCTCTACATTTTCCTAGCAGTATATCTCTAAGATCAAAAACACTAAGAAACACCGAGTCACAATAATATCGAAATGTATGGCAGTTTGTAAATTTTCTTGATATTTAGTTTTCGTTTCGCTTTAGATGTGGCGGAGGATGTATTAGTGAGACGGTACGAGAACTGCCGGGCGCAACAACTTGTTAATGCTTACCGAACTTACGGCCATCTGAAAGCCTCCATTGATAATGTTGATTATAAAAATGATAAAAGGTAATTTTTTAATTGCATCCTTATAATTAGTTCTTTCACATGTTTTTGTATAAACAAATGTTGATAACAAGTTAACCTAAAACATAATACAAGTTGATACGCATGGAACAGGAGAGATAATAATTTGTTTTGTTATATTCCAACGTATATTGTTTAAATTGTGATTGAATTTAGTTTGTAATTTACACAAACGATAAATACATATTTTTACCACCCATGATATGATGTTTTTCAAAATATGTTTTCCAAGATGTGACAAAAGTAATATAAAATAATATCTTAATGAAATAATTATTTCGAAAATATGCAGGATCCCTCACGACTTTTTCATTCAGTACACGGAGCACGTGATAAGTCAGCACTTAAAATTAACAATTTCATTAGTTCTGCCCCGGGACATCAACCTAGGCTGCTCGAGTATGTTGAGTTAAAAGCAAGCACCCGGACACTGGCTCAAACAAAATAATGTCGAATGGACAGTCTTTCATAAGTACAGTATATATTATATTATACAAGGGTACTTATTATATTGTATCTTGTATAGATTATACTAGGATCAAATAGTAATGATCTGTCATAGCCGTCTTTCTTCTGCCCTTATCCCATATGGGTGGGATCCGCGTTACATGTGAATCATGTCGTTAATCATATAGGCTACGTTTTATGACCGCCAAGTCCAAAGCTTGATGGCTTAGCAGCTGCGCCAACGTGTCATACATTTCGTACATTCATTTCAGAAACGTCAAAGAGCTACAGTTAGCACGGTACGGTCTCACCGCGGAAGATCGCGTGGACCTTGGACTTTTATACGGTTACGATGGCAAGCAACCGGCACAGAATCTCGTGCACCAATTGGAGCAGACCTACTGCGGGCCAATATCATACGAGTTTTCGTATTTGGAGGTGAGAGGAACCAAACTATCTTTTGCACCCTACACAACATAATTATGCTGAGTAACTGATGCTGAAAATTTCGCACTTCTACTTTCCTATGTGCAAGAGATAGTTCTCTTTTTTATTATTTATAACACAACCATTTTATAACACAACCCAAATTTTAAATTTGTTGAAAAGTGATCAAAAAGTTTATCGCCGCATCGAGGATTTGAACCTACGAATTTTGAGCTAAACGGCGGTTTATACCGACTTATCTTATCCGGTGTAAGCGACGCGTTATAATTTAAATTTATATAATTAAGTTTTATGTAATATTTTATATAAACCTAATTTGTTATTCTTATATTTTTTGTTTATACTGTAATGTGTAATTTTGTATTTTTATTTCCTTTTATATGGCAACTGCGAGCGGGCGAGCGAACGTTACTTTTTGAATTTAAAATAAATACGGGTACTGTCTGTCATACGTTCTTCTTCTTTTTCCGTACGCACGCTCTGCTAACGTTCACTGTGTCCACGTAATTATCCTGAGTTTAAATTGTTTTTGTACTTTGTTGCAAATAAAGAGCTGTTAACCTCAGTGCACCGAATTTTACTGCGAAACTCCCTTATATCCGGTTTATCTTATATTTTTTTCGCAATGCTTGGCGCCATTTAGTGTGACCATTCTTTAATAGCAAATTTGTCATTAGCAAATTTGTAATCACTTATCACAAATGAAACACGAAAAAAGTGGATAGTACTATAAAAATGTATATAACTTTAAACACTCAAACATATGCGAATACAAACACGAAAACGCGTTTCCAGACTGCAGAAGAAAGGGAATGGTTCCCTCAGCGCGTAGAAGGCTGTTCAGATCCTGTCGAAAGCGATCGTAGAGTAGAAATCCTGAAGGAACTCCTGCACTCTCAAGCTTGGGACAACTTTCTTAGTGTGAAATATCCCACCGTGAAGCGTTACTGCGGAGAAGGCGCCGAAACGCTCCTAACATTCTTCTCAACTTTATTTGGCCTTACAACCTCAGGTTAGTGTAGACACCTAGATACTTTTCTTTACTTATGGAAGTAAATACTAGTACATATGAAAGGGTTTTTTGTGGGATAAGGTTATTTGTGTGATTTTTTTTATTTGAGAATGCATCAAGCGAACTGACCGTTCACCTGATGTTAAGCGATAACCACCGCCCATAGACATCTGTGCAGCCTACAGGGTTAAATATACCTTGCTACCTTTTAATAAAGTGATGCCCAAACTTTCGTATCTTCGGCGATAGAACCCACAACGCCCGTAAAATGACATTTTTACAATTTTGGCCTCTCTGTCTGTTTGTTTGTTCCGACTAATCTCTTTAACGGCGGAACCGATTTTGAAGGGACATTCACTGGCAGATAGCTGATGTAATAAGTAATAACTTAGGCTACTTTTATTTTAGAAATTGTATTTATTTTAAATTCCACGCGGACGATGTCCGGGGCAGAGCTAGTAGATAACAAAATGAAAAATTCGTTCAGTACAAAAATAGGTGTAGACGTCCGTCACTCCCAACGGAGTTAATTATAATAAAATGAGAATGAGACCCTGTTGAATTTAAAAGATTGAGAACTTTTTCGTTTTTCATTACACATCAAGCTTTCGTAATTTATGTTAATAACTTTTAAAGACGGATGATGAATCCAATTATCTCTGAATGCAATGTCGACAAATGCTTCTTATCTTATTCTATTCTTGCGAGCAATGTACCTTCTAATATTTCGCGTATTTACATTTACACACAGTAAATTAAAATATGTATGTATGTTATATATAATATATATAATATAACAATAGATAGCGCCAAGCATTGCTTCAAATGCTAAGAAAACAATGTGGAAGAATGCAATGTTTAGCCAGTTAGAGCGTCAGGCCGCGAATGCCGAAGACGTGGGTTCGATTCCCACAACAATCTTTTCGCACTTTTTCTAATATTTTAATGTATTTAAAGATTACACTAAAACACACAGTAAATACATAATCTAAAGATAATTAACAACCCATAACATATTTTGGTATTACAGTTCAACTTCTATGTAGTCCGGCCTACTGGCCAATAAGTTCTTTTTAAAAAATCAGTTACCGTTTATATTTCTAACAATATAACAATATATATTTCAGAGGGACTTCAGCAGGTTGTACTCGGAATGGCGCATAGAGGCAAACTAAACCTCCTCAGCGGCCTCTTGAAATGTCCACCCGTCAAAATATTCCACAAGTTCAGCGGCATGCCGGAGTTTCCGCTGGAAGCTAACGCCGCTTGCGATATCTCAACCCATCTAAGTAAAAGTTCTTTAATTTAGTACGTTGAGTGCGTTAAAAGTACATTAATTTATTAGTATAAGTCGTGGGGCCACAAAACAGTCATGGCTGTTGCACGAATGAGCATATAAAAAAAAGAACCACGTAAACTCCACGAATAATAGAATCCTATAATATAATTTTACATTGCACTTGCACAATCTGTCTTTTCTGTTTTGATTATTTATTCTGAGTATATTTTATTTTAATAGAGTTGTACAAATTTTGAAAAAATTTATTAAACTTTCCGTTTTATCTTCCGCAAAACAGCCATCTTATTTCAATGAATTATTAAAAATATCTCATTTCCTTTTCTCTTCTGTCGGAGGATCTCTTCTGAAGAAGGATCGCAACGATGAAAAGTGATCACCTTTGTACATGGAGTTAATCTTGTATCAAATAAATATTGAAAGCGCTTTTAAATTTCAGGTGCATCAGCTGATATCACGGTTAACGGAAAGACAGTTCGTTTCTCACTGCTCAACAATCCTTCACACTTGGAGGTATGTACGCTGATTATATGTTCTAAAATTAAATATCGATACAAAACTGACCTTTTTGTCATTCAAATTATTCTATAGCATGCGTCACGTACTTGTTTATTTGATTATATAGGCAGCTAATCCGGTATCTATGGGCAAAACGAGATCGAAACAGTTGCAGTTAAAAGAAGGCGACTACTCTCCTGATGGATCCTCAAGAATGGGTGACAAAGTCCTGAACGTTCAGGTAACCTTTAAAGTAGCATCTTTTTTGTGCATTTTATAAGCGACTGTCTAGTCAAATCTAGTCCTTGGCTGCTATCAGACTGCTGCTGTAAATGGTGATACAGTTGAAAATTGTAAACTCACTAGTTCAGTAAAACCCTATTCATTCTTTCCTCGAAGACAACCACGTAATATTCTTTATATCGTCATCGTTTGGTACATCTACGTCTTTTTATTTGACTTGGCTTTTTGCGCTTGTGTTGAATAATAATTCATTACAATAATAATTCATTAATTACGTAGCGTAATTATCAGTTTACTTGGCTGTGCATTTATGAACCGCCTCATTGATGATTTTATAAGCAAGGTGTCGTAATTTACCTAGATTTTGGTGTTGTACCAAATAAGGACAACAGCAACTTACAAAATCTGCTATTAAGTAACTAAGGCTGAACGAATTAATCAATTAGACAGGACAAGTACCGCAGTCACAGAACATCGGCGTGAATTAAAAATGTTTATGCTACTATTCATCTGAGAGGTCTGACCAGAATCCCGATATATGAGTGGTCTGGTGGTCCTCTTTCAATTAAAAAATTCTAGGTACCCATTTCAATTAAAAAAATGTATCACATCTAAATTCTACACAGTTACAGTACAGGCCTACAACGTACAAGGAATAATTTGGAAATTACTGTATTACCTTTCAATATATGGAATGAGATCGTGACTCTTATCATTTTAAATTATTTATTACTTTTTTTTATGTGAGTCAAGTTATATCCGCCGCCCATGGACATTTACAACACCCGAAGGGTTTCAGATTCGTTGCCACCTTTTATTCAAGTGGGCTACGGTTACCTTACTCACCAGACGAATCACAAAAGTATAAGACTTCCCCCTCACGCCGGTCTTCTGTGAGGTCGTGGTGCTCCTTGTGAGGAAATGGTCTTCCCATTCGTGAGACAGTAAAGAGCAGGCTTTACTGTCTCACAAATGGGCAGACCGTACCACAAAAAAGTCCTTTAATTTAATCAAATAGATTTTTTTTTAATTCAAACCTTGTTATCTACTAATCTAATTATTACTTCCCTTCAATTACTTGCTAGTAAAGTCCATGGTGACGGGAGAGACCATATATGATCTCGTGTAAAGCGTTCAAATCTTTGGGAATCGAAATCAAAATTAAAAGCGATAAAAACCACAAGATGATTTTTATTATTGTATCTATGCTCTACAGATTCACGGTGATGCCGCTTTCACAGGTCAAGGGATAAACCAAGAGACGCTCATGCTATCGCAAGCACCGCATTTCGACGTGGGCGGTTCTTTACATGTAGTTGTTAACAATCAGGTGAGATTCGAATTCCAAATAATCACGTTATAAGCATGCTAAATATCACAATGAATGTTTTTACATAAAATTTATTCCTCATTTATATTTCCACAAAGCGAAACTGGTTTCATGATAGTGTAGGTATATAATATTGTAATTTTATTAATCAAATCACTCATACAAAAGGCTTCAATCCTATTCATTATCAAGTCGTAAAATAATATTTTTCTTCTTTCGATACTCATAACATCTCATTTATATACAATTCGAAATAAGCTATGTGCGTTTAAAGAAAAACCGAACCACGGATAATATTAATCATTAATTTTCAAAATAAACGCGTATGTAAACAGAACTTGATCAGATTTATATAACACAGCTGTGCCCGCGACTTCACCCGCTAGGTATTTGAAATAAATAAAATTTCTAAAATAAAAGTAGCCAACCTTACTCCTTATTACATCAACTATCTACCAGTGAAAGTCCCATCAAAATCGGTCCGACAGATAGACAAAAATTGTAAAAAAATGACATTTTGGCATAATATGTATAAATCCATATTCATTTCGTGAAAAGCGGTTATTTTAATGTTACAAACAGACACTCCAATTTTATTTATCTGGTTAGAGTACAGATAACACGTAAATCAAAAACTGGTAAAGGTAAATGGTAAAATTTTTGAAGTGTCCTCAAAACGACTGAGATTCGCATATTCACCCTTTTTCAAATCAAATTTTCGCTCAAATCATTTTCGATCGCAGGTCGGCTTCACACTTCCCGCCCAACGTGGCCGCTCCTGCAGGTACGTGACGGATCTGGCGAAAGCAATTTCCGTGCCAGTGATCCACGTGAATGGCGACCACCCCGAGGTGAGCGTGAAAGTGGAAAGGGCAACTAAATCCTAAGTAAAAATGTGCCGAAAAGAAAAGCTACTCTTTAGTTAAAAAAAGGTGGCATGAAATAGACATAGAATAGAGAACAACTTTAAAAATGGCAACAAGAAAACTGTATTAAAATACTAGAAGCAGCAAATAATGCAAACTAAATTTTCAACATTCCATATACGTCTTAAGTAGGTTAGATTCCGGCAGCGGCTTTTCGTCCTTTCTTTTACAATTTTTTTCATCTTAAGTGCAGAGATTAGCACTATAAAAATTCGAAATTAATGATTCATTCGTCATCATATTAACAGAGTAATGTATATTAATGTGTATTAAAAAGCTGTCATACCGTGACGAGGTAGACGGGGGAGCAGCTGCTATCCAATTTGAAGTTCTTAAAGTTACATTTTAACCTCACAACAGGTATACATGAGAGACAGCGTAGTTAACATGGAGAAACGAACATTCCATTTATTTGTTTTTTAGAATCAAATCCGCAGTTGTAGATCGACATATTTTCCTTATAACTTTTGTATAATTTTTTCGGAAAACGAAAGTAACGAATTTATAAAGGTCAAAATCAGTTTTTCTTTTTATTTCGCAGTATGAGGATGGATGTGGAAATTATATTATGACTGGAAACTTGTCGTACCAAGAATGTGCTCAAAATAGTTTTCGTATGTTTAAATGTGGATAAGTGAAATAAACATTTTAGAAAAATTTTAAGTTTTTGTTTAGAAAGAATAAAAAGTAGTCAAATTTTATTCACGATCAGTAGTGGCTTGAAGTTATAGTAACTTGAACAATAATGCTCTTTTATATTTTTAGTTAACAAGCACAGTGTTTTCCAGCTAGTCGTCAAAGCGACGAACATCGCGTTTGAATATCAAAGGCGTTTCCGCAAAGACGTATTCATTGACTACAACTGCTACAGACGATGGGGTCACAACGAGCTGGACGATCCCACCTTCACCAATCCGCTTCTGTACAAAGTAATACACAATCGAAAGTGAGTATTCGTTATTATTATTCAAGCTCACGTATTTAACCGTAACTAAGATAGGCATAAGAAGCTAGTAACTATTTAATTTGAGATATTACAACTCACTACTTAGGCGTATCCCTGACAACAAGCTTGTCTTCGTGCACCGGGCACAATAGAGTTAATATTTCTTGCGCGTACGAAATTCGAAAAGGGTCGATCTTGTTGTTGATGCAATAGTATAAACGTAATATTTAGTGATAGTAAAAAAAAATCATTTACATATAGTACAATCTACACAGCTAAGTAAATTAGTAGTTGACAGAAATTCAAGGTTTACCGTTTGTACATCATTTGCGATATAAAAGGGTAAAAAGAAAAGTAACTTTTTATTGAATAGTATTAGAAGAGAAGAGTAGAATTCTAGGTAAAAAGAAAAGAAACTTCCTTGAATAGTATTATAATATACCAGTCAAAGATCACCGTGTTTATATTGCCTTTCACATCAGAAATCAGTCGCATTAAGTTTTAATTTTCAATTTCAAGTAGACACCTTAAATCCATCTAGCTAGCATCTAATATAATCTACGTTCTTGACAAGCAATTTGTATTCGCTTTGATAGATCAATACCGGATTTGTACGCCGAAAGGCTGATTGCGGCGGGCCTGCTGACAGAACACGATGTGAATACGATATCCAAGAAGTACACAGAGTATCTGCAGAGGCAATTCGAATCCGTCAGCTCTTACCGACCTGAGGTTTGACTTCTTCCAATACTTGCTAAATTTGAACAAGTATACTTCAAGGCTTGCGGCTATGGTGCTGTAAATAGAAATTTCTTTTAAGTACTATAATCCTTTTTGAATTATCAATTCAACTGATGGATGTTGATTGATGTTGACAGTAAAATATTTTACGTTCAAACCGAGACATACATACTTGAGGACAAACAATACTTCAAAGATTTGAAGTTAATTTATATGCTTGGGGACAAATATAACTTACTTGAAATATTTCTTTTAGTCGTACACATAAAAGCTATGAAATGACTACACACTTTCCTTTAAAACAAAAACAAAACAGAAAATGTATAGAAAATAAGGATTGAAAGTATACTTTTATTAGGAACATAACAATGAACAAAACAACTGAATTATGATTTGATAAGCACTAGAAAACAAAGACATTGCGAGAATTCTACTGAACTAAAAAGAGAGCTGGGAAACGTTGCTTTTGAATAACGATTATACCCGTAGGACAAGACATTAAATTTTATTTTGTATGCTCTATTTATATTCAGCTTTTGTAAATTTCAAAGTTCGCTGAACATTGTTTTTTTTTTACTGTCATGACATTATATGTAACCAAGATTTACAAATGAACATAATAGATATTATTTTTCTTTCACTTTATGTAGTACCGATTTCGTAAATTTTGTTGTTTAGGAGTTTAATATTTCTAGAAGTCATTATTAACAACTCAACACGAATATGTCCTCATACAAATTTTCACAGATTTCACGACATACGGGAGACTAGTTCTGAAAAAGAAGGCATCGAATTTAACCTTGGTTGCAATTGAAAAACTGTCTTATGAATTATCTTTTTAAAACACAGTATTTTTTTCTGCAACATTTGTGTTTACTGCGTTAACAGTAAACTAGTGGCGGATTTACTTACTGTCTGCCAATTGGGTGTAGGTGTTGTAATAGAAATTCATCCATCATCATCATTCCAGCCTATTCTAGTCCATTGTTAAACATAGGCCTCCCCTATAGACTGTCACGAAGCGCGATCCTGAGCCAAGTGTATCCATTGACTTCCTTTCTTGTACACAGGCCAATCTCTTGCCATCAAGTAGGATATCGTCCCCCACTGCGATGGCCAATACGAGGCAGTTTTTCGATAACCTTTCTTCCCCATCGGTTATCTGTTAACGAACTATATGGCCGGCCCATTGCCACTATTATTATTTATCCGATCTTTATGATCCAGGTTACGTACTACCAAGAACAGTGGGCTGGCATGAAAGCCGCCCCTACAGCTGTGGAGACTTGGGATACGGGAGTCAACACAGAGCTATTAAGACAAGTTGGGATCGCCTCCGTATCAGCTCCCCCAGGCTTTGTGAGTATTCTACCTCAAATAGTGGTGGTAAAATTTTAAAGCCTTATACTATTACATAATCATCATCATTTCAGCCTGTTTGAGTCCACTGCTGAACATAGGCTGAGACGAGGCACAAGCCTGAGCCACCTGCATCCTCCAACTTCCCGCAAACTTGCACGGGTCGTCACTCCTGCGCGACTTTAAGCTTCCTGGTGTGAAGGAACACGTCTCGGTTCCGTAGGTCATCACCAGCAACACACATTGATTGAAGACTTTGGCCTTCAAATATTGAGGGATCCCATCCTGTCCTATTAAATCTAATATATAAAATTCTCGTGTCACAATGTTTGTCATTGAACTCCTCCGAAAGGGCATGACCGATTTTCGTGAAATTTTGTATGCATATCGGTCAGGGTGGAGAATCGGACAACATCTATTTTTCATCCCCCTAAATGTTAAAGGTGGTCCACACCAAACATTTTTTTCTACCCTACAAATAATTTATATAGCAAAACAACTTTTGCCGGGTCAGCTAGTAGTTTTATAAAAAATATGTGCCTTATCATAATGAACAGTAGTATCAGACACTAGCAGATTTGATCAAGTCGGCCCAATAGGCCCGGGCCTAGGGCGGCCACATATAAGGGGCGGCCAATAGTGACAAAAATTTCAATGATGATAACAAGATATATGATGGGCGCTGAGAAAGGGGCGGCTGAAACTTACTACATGGACTGGGGCCTAGGGCGGCCAAGACTGCAAATTCGCCACTGGTATCACATAATAAAGTACTACTGTATGTTAAGTGTATGAGTTGATTGTTATTAAAGAATTACTCTATAATTTGGAACAAAAAATGATTGAGAAAAGTGTTTCTTTAAACACTTTCTCATATTTTATTAATAATAAATATGATAGTAATAACGTGTCAGTGGCTTCAATATTCATATTCTGCAAACAAAAACATACAAGAGAATAAATTAGCATGTTGTCGAACAAATTTACATCTAAAACGTAAACATATGCCAGACTCATCAAAAATACGATTCAAAATCATGTAATCCCTCAAAGTTATCAAACTTCTTATTTAAGCTCCTATAATACTGTATGTAGCCCGAGGTACGAAATCAATTTAGAGATATGATTAATGTGTATAATATCTTCAGCCTCGGAGCATTCCCCCTAACCTCGGCGTTTAATATAAGTCTAGTTCACCCCGTCAATTTATATAACGTCGTTATTGAAAATTGCATTAGCGTCTAGTCTGCTCTAACGAATACACGAACTCATCATCATTGGACCCATGAGAATATAAATATATCTTAACACTACTAGTAAAGAGGCGTCCGTTGACCTGTGTCCTTCACAGGCAAAATAATCATTTTGCGACTTAAAATACATATATTAAAGTGTGACTTGGTAGTATTTGGTGGTGTAATGTTTTTATCAGTGTTCTTTGTGGCCGATATAGTGATGATGGTAGTGATAATAAACTTTCAACATAGACTGACAAAGTCTGTTCGGTTGCTAATAAAAACGTGTGAAAATATTACCAACAGATCCGCCAGTTAACTGTTCTAGATTCATTTATGTATTTTAAACTTAAATTTCTCTTGAAAGACGTCAATCTAAAGCTTAAGGAGTAATTTTTATGTAACAAAAAATTATTCTTTTACTACATTCATCAGAAAAATGAGGAGGTTTTCAATTTGCTTCTATTTCGTTAATATTTACTTTTGAACCTAATTCAAAGAAGGAGGCTCTCAATTCAATTATATTTTCATTGTTATCTCAGAATTCCGGCAATTATGAACCGATTGTAAAAATTCTTTTTGATTTTTTTTTTTAAATAAATATTTTAGGATAGATTTTTACACAACATTATCTAGTCCAAAACGAAACAACGCTTGTACTATGGGTACTAGATAACTGATAAACATACTTAAACATACTTTTCTTTTTTAAATAAATACATATTACACATATAGAAACACCCAGACACTAGAAAAACACTATGTTCATCACACAATATTTTTCCAGTAGTGGGGATCGAACCCACTCCCTCTGCCGCAGGAGGCAGGCACACTACCCACTACGCCATTCGGGTCGTCATTTGCGGTTTAGATCAAATTGATAATGGATAGTGATTGTGATATTTGAAGTCGATTTTATTTTTTGTTATTAAAAATTTACTTCTTATCAATAAAGTTTACCTTACATCAATGAATGATAACCAATAATTCTATGTACAAATACGAGGCACTCAAATTACGCCAATTGCAATTCTATACTCTGCTATCTCTTTCCGCATTATACCTAAGTTCTATATCATCTGTCACATTCACTTAAATAAATGTATATATAATATAAACACCTCGCAGTATGGATATGCGACACCTTTATTTAAATAATCATTACATTAGTTATTACATTTTTTTAAGGTTTTTAATTATAGTTTCATTGTTCTAGTATAACTATATTTTGTATTAGTTTACCATTTGAATGTTATTTAAGTTTGCTAATAATCATTGATAACCAATTGGTTTCTTTTATTACAGAACGTCCATTCACATCTGGCTAAGACACATGTCAAAAATCGACTGAACAAACTGTCCAACGGGAGGGAACTGGACTGGGCCACTGCTGAGGCCTTGGCCTTCGGTAACTTATCTTTTATGTGTGGCCAAGTCAGTGAATTAAGAGTTTTAATATTTAGAAAAAACTAGCGACACGCCCGGGCTTCGCACGGATGCAGTGTATTATACATAATATAATCCATTCTCTTGAATCACTCTATCTAGTAAAGAAGAGATCATATCAAGATCTGTTGCGTAGTTTTAAAGATCTAAGCATACATAGGGACAGAGAGAGTGATGTAACGTAATTTTTAATAGAACAAGTTTAAACCCCTTTTTAGCCTTAGGCCTAAAGGTATAGGTATAAATACTAACAAAAGAAAATGATCGTTCAATTGCTCACCCACGTTTATTGGAATTTGCTGCGTATTTCAAACTTCTAGACCGAATGGTATTAATATTTTCTTACAGGCTCAAGTCAAATTATTTAATTTTAATCAGAGAAAATTTAAACGACAAAAACGCAACTCGCGTTTTGGATGATTAAGAAAATGATTTAGGTTAATAAGCTCGTCCAAAGAGCGGACCCATATACCCCTTAACATATTAATACTAAAATCTTCTACAACCATATATGATACAAACAAGGTATGTCGAGGAAAACAAAGTGATCATTATTTACTACTATCTGCTGCCCGCGACTACTTTTGCGTAGAATAGGCTGAAAGCGTAACATTGAGTATGTATCTTATCCTTTAAACGAGCAATTCTTGTATATATATATATATATATATATATATATATATATATAATATTAATATATATATATATATAATCGGAATCTCGGAAACGGCTCCAGCGATTTTCATGAAATTTAGTATATGCGTAGATTCGGGGGCGAAAAATCGATCGGTTTCATTTTTAGAAAATGTCCTTTTATCCCTGTTTTCAGGGAATGAAAAATATCATTCGAAAATTACAATAAATTTCGCCGTAAAAAGAAATGTTATAATAGCTCGGTCGGCAATCGGGCGGCCACAAGACAGACGGCCGCGGTTCGTATCACGATCATTTACACACTTATTTTTTTACTTTTCTATACCTAAATTTTAGCCTATGTCTTATTCTGATGTATAAGCTATATTATTGTAAAGTTTCATTAAAATCCATTCAGTAGTATTTGCGTGAAAGAGTAACAAACATCCATCCATACATACAAACTTTCGCCTTTATAATATTAGTAAGCATTATTAACTATATTTATTTCTCAGAGGATTGAATCATAGCGATATAAACCATGCCTTTTCCTTTTCGAGCCTATGTATTAATACATGTGTATTATTATTTATGTGTGGAGAGGACATAGGGCATATTATCTCACCCCTATTGATAAAAAATAGAGGAATAGTTAGTATTTTAATGCAGTCGGGTTTTTTTGGCTCACTTAATGATTTATACTTGCAATTCGTAGTGGTCGCGCCAATAATGGTAGGTTTCTTCGATAGAATTTAGTGGACTGTATTGGTACATACAATAAGCAGAGCTAGGAAGGTGGGCGAGATGCACGTACTAACCTTGCGGCGGCAGCCAAGCGCTCGCGCTCCCTGGGATGCAGCCAACACCGGCGGGCACGCCACGTAGTTCGGTACACGCACTTTGCAGTGTTCAATTCCTGGATAGCCACACTCCACACTCTCGACTTATCGTAATCGCGGAAGGGCGCGACACATCAATAGGGAGCGTTACTAGGACTCAATGTCCGGGATAATTAAAATATAACGAGGAGCGCAATGTCACTCGTGCGGTTGCGGGATAACGACCTTTTAAAATATTGCCGCCGCGCGGCGCTGGCGACGCCTTAGGCGGCAGTACGTGCAATAGGATGAATAAGGTAAGGGAAGGGTAATGGATGTATGTACCATATATTAATTTAATTATTAAATTATGCTTAATTGGCGTAACCACGTAGGATCCTTGCTTATGGAGGGTCGGCACGTGCGGTTGAGCGGCGAAGACGTGGGCCGGGGCACCTTCTCGCATCGGCACGTTATGCTGGTCGATCAGGAGACTGAGAAGATTCACATCCCTCTAAATTACATCCACGAGGACCAGAAAGGTTATCTAGAGGTATATGAGTAAGATAGATCGATAAGTACAACAGTATGTTACATATACAGGGTGGCCTTTTTAAAGGTGCCCAAATTCACACAGGAGGTTCAGACTCGGTAGTACAATCGTTTATTTTCTATATTTTTTTTTATTTTATTATTCAACTTCATGTCCACAGTAAGGCGATAAAACTCACGATTTAGTGGGGTTATTCTGAAACTGGGCTAATTTCAGCGTCACCAAATGTGTTTGTATAGACATTTGTGTCTTCATTAAAGAAGTATAAAACAAAGATTCACATATGACACAGCCAATATTTATATTTTATTACACCACCTTTTTGCATTTTAGGTACAGACACAACGACTTTTCTCTACGCGATAAATTATTTTCGTCCATAAATTTCTTTGATGCTAATTAATTGTTATTCAGTGACTGATCACGATTAAATGCGATAACTTTAACTATAACAACAAAATTGTTCATATGATTGTTAGTGAATTTTCCATCCTCTTCTTAAATACCGTCAATTTCATAGCATTTCTTATGGTATAAATAATTAATCACCTAAAGCACTGTCGTGCTTCCCTTCATTAAAATTAATATTTGAACACGAATTCGTAACAAACGTAGACCTACACCAAATTATTGTATTTTTAATTTTTATATACCTTTATTTTCTCCTTTCACTTGGATATTTATTTGCCATCACTCAAAAAATTATTAAACTAGGGTACCCGCTCTGAAGTAAAAAGGGAAATTTGTTTGTAACCAGCGTTTAATGCTGAAAAAGATAAATATAAATAACTGGACCGGAAGAGCGGTCTTTCAGAAAACCTAACGAATCTCCTTAGAAGGAGATCGGAAATAATTCTTCCGCCCCGCAGCCTCCTAACTACGGTCCCTTTTTATTATTTGTCGTGACAATACGCCCTTACACTGTTCGCTACAGTTCCAGTTTTGTTTTCTCAACAATGTCGTACTATTTTTTAACAAATCAAAAGTGGAGAAGTGCAAATTTTCGATAAAATTATGTAACAGTCTCTTGAATATACATTAACTTTTTATTTTGATGCTAACTGCTTATTTTTTTATTTCATTTTTTTAAGAGAGAATGTGGCAAACGAGCTTGATGTTAAGTGATAACCACTGCCCATGGACATTTGCAGTGTTATAAATGCGTTGCTACCTGTAAATAAAGTGGGCCCCGGCTACCTCACTCACCAGACGAAACGCAAAAGTGCAACAATTCTATTTTACGGCAGTCTTCTGTGAGATTGTGGTACTTACCCGGACGGACCTGCCCATTCGTGCAACAGTGAACACTGGTGCGTGGCTCTACCACATTCATTGTATATTTATATATTTTCATATTGTTTATTGTTTCTACAATTAATCACGTGTACGCATTATAACATAATGGCACGAATCAAATATGTTACTGTTACTACAATTTGTAATAAACATCAAGAAAAAGAGACAATCTAATCTTGCCGTAATTTTTTCTTATTACATCATATATTTTGATGTGAGATATGAGTTCAGTAGATAAATTCTTTTCGGCGCTGCCATTCGAATCGAACTGGGACTTTAGGTAACGCCTCCAAACGTTATATCAAGCCGAGCTATGCGGCCTACATCCTTATGCGTATAATATTATACTACTTGTTCACAAAATGGGATCCAGCATTGCTACAAATATTATATATATTAGTCTAGTCAAGATAAAATTAAAACTGAGTTCAATAGATTTTATTACAGGCCGTGATAAATGTACCCGTGTACCCTACCGGTATTTTGAATCAAACGATTGATAAAGCACTCACAGATTGTTTATTACAGTCTTACAATAATAAATTAATTACTCAGTACAGTATAATTATTATCATCATCATCATTTCAGCCTTTTTCAGTCCACTGCTGAACATAGGCCTCCCCCACAGACTGCCACGAAGTACGATCCTGAGCCACCTGCGTCCATCGACTTCCCGCACATTTGCACAGGTCGTCACTCCATCTAGTGGGGGGTCGTCCTACACTGCGATGGCTAGTACGAGGCTGCCACTCGAGAACCTTTCTTCCCCAACGGTTATCGGTTCTACGAGCTATATGGCCGGCCCATCGCCACTTCAGCTTGCTAACCCTCTGAGCTATGTCGGTTACCTTGGTTCTACTGCGGATGTCTTCGTTACGAACTCTATCACGCAGAGAAATACCGAGCATAGCCCGCTCCATAGCTCGCTGAGCGACTTTGAGCTTCCTCATACGGCCAGCAGTGAAGGACCACGTCTCGGTTCCGTATAATTAGTTCAGTATAATTACTCGGTACAAAAAAGTGGATAGCAAAATAACGATAGACAATTACAAGGAATTAATGGCTATTTTTTCGACACATCATTTCAAGCCTCTGCAGGCTACACACATTAGGAACAGTGGAACGAAGGCTCGCATGCAGGCCTTCCCCTCAAGACGAGCCATGGCCGTCCCTCAGCCCATATAAAGGACTAAAACTCCTCTGCCAGTTTTGCTCCACGTCTATTTCCCGGCATTATCCATGTCTGTTCTATTGGGTGACGTTCCTCTATCCACCACCTGGGGAAGCAATGAAAGGTCACGCTCCTGTGGGAGATTCGCTGTATACTAACCAATCCTAACATCAGAAACAATGTCGGGGAAAATCGGGCAAATCCAACTTCAGACACAGAACGCATACCGATTTGATTGCCTAATGAAAGCATCTAAAATATTAGCCACATTTGTAGAGGAAACATTTTTGATTATTAATGACCGAGAATCCAATGCTTGTTTAATTGTATTAACTAAATATAATTACCAAAACAGGTCGTGAACTCCATACTGTCGGAGGAAGCGGTTCTTGGCTTTGAATACGGCATGGCTTACGATTCGCCGGACAACCTCTGCATATGGGAGGCTCAGTTCGGAGACTTCTATAATGGAGCGCAGATTATTGTTGACACGTACATCGCTTCGGGTGAAGGTAACCGGAATATTTATTAAACTAAAGAAAACGTCTTTGCCCTCAATAACAACAGTACTGAGTTTTAGGGTTAATTTTTCATGTCTAAATGAGTTTTAAACCCCTAATTACAACTAACTCATACAGTGACCTGTGGATATTTGTATTCTAATTAGTAAACTGCCGACAAGAAGAATATCAAGTTTTAGAATATCAAGCGGATTTTCTTCAAAAAATCACATTTTATTACGAAATTATTAATAAGTACTTAACAAACATTCCCAAAATCGTTAGTAAGAGAAAAAAAATTACAGTTTTTTTTTTATGTAAGAATCCACGCGAGCTGGCGGTTCAACCGATTTTTAAGTGTTAACCGCCTCCCTTTGACATTTACAACTCCCGTAGGGTCACAAATGCGCTGGCACCTTTCAATAAAGTGGGCACAGTTAATCTTTAATTTTTTTTTTGGCAGCATTGTGATTAGAACTCGCGACTTCAGATCGTGATCCTCCGTCACGAAGCAACTGGCTGAAATAAAAATACCTGAAACTCTTTCAGCGAAATGGGTCCGCAGCAACGGTCTGGTGATGCTTCTGCCGCACGGCTACGACGGCGCCGCGTCAGAACACTCCTCCTGCAGAATGGAGAGGTTCCTGCAGCTTACGGACAGCCGGGAAGCTGCACCTGACTCGGAAGCAGTGTGCATGCACGTGGCGAACCCGACCACGCCCGCGCAGTATTTCCATTTACTGAGAAGACAGGTGCAGTGTTGCTATTTTTACTGTGCTAAGCACCTTCTTTTAAAGTTTATTCTACTTTTAAGGGTTTTCGATGCGCAAAGTAAGCGGTAAAATTAAAGATAGTGTTGGCAACACTAAAAGAAGTGTCATTCTGTGAGGTATAAATGAAGCTGCAAGAAGCATTTCGTGGTCTTCGTCGTCTTTTCTTTGGGTGTCAACGAGAAGTATACACGATAGTGCTGCCCAATCGGTATCACAAATTGAGTCGTTAGAGTTGTGGTTCTTTAGTCTAAAAGTGATAGTAGATAGTGATAGTAGATAGTAGATAGATAAGTGATAGAAGTAATTATACCAGTGTTATTCTTGTGCAAAGTGAAACTACGATGATTTGGTAAAAGTATTTATATTTCTACCCTCTTAGCTCGATAAAACAAAGTATAGCTAACAATAGAATTGTTTTCTTCTTACTCTAAAGGCAAATAATAACAAGGATACATTTTATAATTCTTCAGAATGGGCAGTTAGGTATATTATGTTTGAAAAGAATGGACTGTCTTAACAATATATACTTGCCCATTATTATTAGTATGATAATTGATCAATATTCATGTATAGAAGAACTCAGTCGTTTGTCTTCGGTACTCGTGCACACTTTACAACCGTATACTACTTGATATACAATTCTCTATTCGCTTACGTTTTGCATGGAATTTAAAGCACATGTTACTTGGGAAAATCATTAACACACAACCATGAATAATTTTTATAACTGCCATAAAATATACGGGAGAAAATAACATCCTCAAACGAATAGTCGATAGTCGTTCCATGTTACGTGCTTGTTGACACAACTAGTTTTATAACTTTCCGCAACGAAAATCTTTTACTATTTCTCAGACTTATGTTACAGAAACTTCGTTACATAGTAAAAATAGCCACTATGTCTACTATTGTTACGCTCACTTGTAGGTACAAATTTGTTACTTTTATTAGGCTTTCATTATTGATAGTGTTGCCCCTTCGTACTAGCTTTTTAGGATTTCCTTACATAGTTACTTTGCTTCATGAATATAAATCTCGCGTAACTATTAGAATTTTTCTGTCCTCCTTTTTTCTTTATTTAAAAAATTATTACATTCTTTTATTGTATTTGTTCATGTAATAAAAAATCATTTTGAATAATAAACATAGGTAACATAGTAAACAGTTAGCACTGTTAATCAATATATTAAGCTTGCACCAGACACAGAGTCCGCAGAAAAAGTACTGATTCTAAAACATAGATTTACTTATAGAATTGAAGAATTCAAAAATCATGTGAGGGGTCTCTATCGTTCTGAAAAATCATTTTTTAAGACATTTTATATTATTAAGACTATCTTTGCTTCTATTTTAGGCGTTTTCTTGCAGTTTGAATTAGTATTTTATCATAAGTTGCCATTTTTCCACTTAAAAAGCCATACATTACTATTTATCGTATTGTATCGCGTTTGACTTTGTTTTTAAATTCTCGACACCTTTCGAACAATTCAGTTCAGTTTTGCGCGTGTTTTATTATGATTCGAAATTAATATATTTAGAAATTATCGTATACTAATCCAATATTTATTAATTTCAGGTGGTTCGAAACTACAGGAAGCCTCTCGTAGTCGTGTCGCCAAAATTGTTGTTGCGTTTAGCGGACGCCGTCTCTCCAATGTCGGAATTCGCGCCAGGCACACATTTCAAACCAGTCATCGGTGAGCGTTCGCACTTGACAACCTAATTTCGAACTGGTCTATAGTGCACGGTACTCAGTATATGCCAACAGAGATCGTGATTTTATAATGAATGTCATTAACATCGCTCATAACAGATTCTGATTTGGGTAGAAATTTAAATACGGGAATGTTTTAGTTATAAGTATCTGTTATTGGGAGACAGGGGGGAGGGGATGAAAGGAAAGGTGCTAATCTAGGTTATAATAAGGATAATTCTATATAGATATAATCTACCGAGACCAATTTATGCGAACTTATTCATAAAATTACATCAGCAATGGATGATGGCCGTCAGATTGACGTAATATATACTGACTTTTCGAAAGCGTTTGATAAGGTAAATCACGTGGTATTAATTAGGAAGTTATCAGAAATAGGAATACATGGAGACTTACTTCGCTGGCTTACCTTTTATTTACGTGATCGAAATCAGGCAGCTTTAATAAAAGGCTTCTGTTCGTCTTTTGTTCCTGTGAAATCTGGAGTACCCCAGGGGTCACATCTTGGTCCTCTTCTTTTTAATATTTTTTTTTAATGATGTTATTGATGTTTGTCAACACTCCGATGTACTTTTGTATGCTGATGATATTAAATTATTCCGGATGATTCACGAATCAGATTGTAATTTATTGCAAAATGACTTAGATCGCTTACGTTTATATTGTAATGATAATTTCTTGACATTAAATATTAAAAAGTGTTGTGTAATAACTTACACTCGTAAGACAAAACCTATTACATTTGCTTATATCTTGAATAATGTTTCCCTTGAACGCGTATCTGAGGTCAAAGATTTAGGTGTATATCTTGATTCCAAGTTAACTTTCAGCTTTCACATCAGTTACATAACTAATAGAGCATTCCGTAATCTTGGTTTTATTCTAAGGGTTGGAAGGGATTTTGAAAACGTCACTACTCTCGTATTACTACAACACATTCGTAAGATCTGTTCTAGAATATGCCTCAACGGTATGGAGTCCTCAAAACAAAAAGCATATAGAGGGACTTGAGAGAATTCAAAAGAAATTTATAAAGCACCTGTCTTTCAGATTTGGAGTTGAAGCAGAGATGATCACGTTTCTGCAATTAGTTCTTTGGTTGATCGGCGAATGGAAAAAGATCAAATTCTTTTATATAAAATAATAAGAAGTTTTGTTGACTCACCGTATTTGTTAAGCAATATATATTTAAGATGCCCTCGAACTAGTGCACGTAACCTTAACTTGTTTTATGTTCCGCGTACAAAAACGAAGTATGCAAAAAATTCGTTCTTGTTGAGATCCTGCAGAACCTTTAACTCAAAATTTAATAGTGCTGACATTTTTAACCTTTCCCTTAATCCGTACAAAAAGTTAATTTCTAAAATACTTAAGGGTAATTAAATCAGTTTAATTTTCAAATAAAAATAGTAATTTATTGTTTTTTGTTCCACTTTTACTAACTATTGCTGTTGTTATTGTTTATTATTACTTTTTTATATTGTTTAGGATGTAATTGTTTTCTTTTTTAATTTCTGTTCATTTATGATTTTCCTATTAGAGGAAACTTAACTGGTATTTGTACAAGCTATTTTTAATAACTATAAGTGCGGTGTATACTGTATGTTTCCCAAATAAATAAATAAATAAATAAATAAATAATTATAAGTAGGAGAATATAGATAATATATTAGAATTTCACGTGCATTTGTTTGAGACATGATAATAAATGTAGTCCGTGGTGTCTAGACGACCTGCAATAAGTGTATTTATACGACCTTATAAGCTTTTTTATCACCGCCTGCTGCCTCGTGTCAAGCCTCGTAGGGATCAAAGACTCCAAACTGGATAAATAATTTTTTGTCACATAAACATTTGTCCCGAGTAGGAATCGAACTCACGACCCCCAGAGCCGAAGCCAATAGCTTAGCAACTGCACCATCGAGTCATCATACGTATATCTATAGATGGTTCAAATATTTATAAAATCACCAGAGAGCATCGATTTCATGCTAACTACGCTTCAAATAGGAAAAAACACCAATTAGTTAAAACACCAGTTAACGGAAAAGCGTTAATTCCACTCCGCTCGCAACTTTATAAACCTTTCAAGAATTTTGTTTTAACAACGATCAACACACCGACGATCCCTGAAGATATGAACTTAAAAAATACACTTTCAAATTTTAAGCACCTACTTTTTACTCCTCCAGGTGATAACTTAGCGGAGCCATTGAAAGTTAAACGAGTGATATTAGTGAGTGGGAAGCATTATTACGAGCTCAATAAAGAGAGAGTGAGAGGGAAAATCGAAGATGTGGCAATCGTTCGGGTTGAAGCACTCAGTCCATTTCCGCTGTACGCTCTGCAGAAAGAGCTCAATAGATACACTAATGCTAGAAGTAAGTACGCTCAAATTAAACGGTTCTTTCAATTATAGTTTAAGAATATTTGTACATTTTAGAAAAGAGATCGATGTAATGAAGCAGGATAAATAAAATTCATTATGGTGAGCTAAAATTTTATGCTTCGGTGCTATTGTTAGTTGTTTACCAAAGAAGTTTAGAATACCCACTTATATGTTCCTATTTGTATTTTTATTATTTACTAGCTGATACCCGCGACTTCATCTGTGTTATTTTACTAAGAACTACATCGCTTGCCAACTTCTCCGCACAAGAAAACACACATTCGATTGCTAAGCGCGTGGTGCTTATAAAACTCATTGATTCTTAAAACTTTACATTAAACTAAAATATCCCGATATTTTCTAGATAAGAACCAAATGTCTAAGAAATAAAAATTAGAATGACTAATTGAAATCCATCCAGTAATATTTTACCGTGATGCGCGCACAGCGGCACATCTCATTAATTTTACTTGTTTAAATTGTTATCACACATGTCACGTAATATTCGCCATAGTGTTATATTATATAGTCGGTAAATTGCCACTGCCAACGTGTGCGTAAATAATAAAATATTAATGTTAAGTAAATATTAATATAAAAAAGCCAAAGAAGAAGTTATAAAAGTTTCCTAAGAAGGAACTAGACGCATTTAGCTCAATTTGTTTTTCATAGCGAGGATCTTGTAAGGACTTAAAGCAATTCGTCTTTTACATAATTTAAACATTCAAGTTTACTTCGCGAAGGCCTTTAAGACTCCGAGTAAACTTTAGAGCTCATCCCCGAGGAATAAAATTTATGTATTATTAAATGTAAGTTTCGATGCGCTTGTACCATTGGACAATTTCCTATGGTAATAACGAATTAAAACTTTACCATATACAGCGTGTCGTAACAACCGCGACAATAAATGAACACACGTCTAACGCTACTTGCCAATAATCATAAAAAAATATAAACGTTAAAAAAATCCATAATTAAAAAAATATTTTTCAAATAAACTAGTTAAATAAAAAAAAACAAAATTTCTAACATCCTATACAACTACAACTGACTGATTCATACATTCAGAGACCTTCTTTCATTGCCACAGCGTCGCATTACAAATCTCTCCTTCTAACAGTATGTTTTGTCTCTTTTAAATACATTCAACCCATTCATATGCTTTGTGACCTTTACAAATGAACTTTACACGTTACAGTTTTATACGTAAGGGTGTTCTAAAATCGTTTGTTTTGGAAAATTTAATAACTCTGTAAATATTGATGTTTAAAGAATGTAAATGTTTAATACAATTTTAAAAAGTTATCCTGTATGCGTGTGTTCATTTATTGTCGCGGTTGTAACGATACGCTGTATACACTTTTATGGGCAAAGCGAGGAGGTATGTGTTTATCTCTGCTCAGGTAACCCTAAGAATTTGGACTATAAACTCTTAGGGTTATAGAAGCCGGTTACCTCGAAGGACAAAAGAGCACTTCTTGAACCTAAAAGCTAGTGAAATAATTCACATTTATATTGTTAAGTCCTAATATTTATCAACTTACTTTACGTGCAAACATATTGAGAAAGTTAAAGTTTGATATAAATTTATTTTATTATTACCCTTTCTTCTTTAAATTAAACTCTTTTACTTATAAAGCCCTCCAAGTTAATACACGTAGTTGTGATCTCGTGTACCTTTGTCGTAATTAGTTTTATAAAACAGTAAAGCATAGAATAATGTAACTAGTAATTACAGTGTACTTCTGATTGAATTTTCCTTTCAAACTGGCATGGAAGGTTAGTAAGCTCATTATGACAAGTATGCCAATGCTGTTATGGAATATGGATGAGCAATTTTCGCAGCAAACATGTTTACTACTCACAAGCGCTTGTCAAGTACAAGCTTGCAAAGTTACCATAGGCTTTTGCAGATTACTAAAAGTTCCTGGTCTTAAAGCTTATTAACAAAACTTTGGTGGTACTTAGATCTAAGTTGAAATCCACAAATTTACGCCTCAACGTAATAAACATTTAAAAATTAATTAGATCAACTTAAATCAAAAAGTTTATACTATGTATATAATTTTATTATGTTTTAGTGCAAATTATAATTAAAATATATTATTATAGAATTTATCTGGAGTCAAGAGGAACATAGGAACATGGGTGCGTGGACATTTGTAAAACCGCGGTTTGAAAACCTCCTCGGGAGAAAGGTAAATAAGATAGCATATAATTTTTAATAGTAAATATTTGGAGATCAGACTAAATAAGTTGTCTTGGAAGAACCCTATATGCAACGGTAGACTATCGCAAGTGATGATGATGATGAAGGAGGTAGGTATTTGGTAATCTTTTTAGTGTATCATTGTAAAAACAATAGGAGTTAGGTTGACAGACCACAGAACAATTAACCTAATATAATTTTCAACAAAAAAAACCCGACTTCAAACCGGAAACTAAAAAAATTGTTGATAACTATAGCATTTGAGGATTGCCCTTGATTTCTCTAGGATGCTCATCAGATCCGGGTTTCCTTATCATGGTACAACCGATGGGATATCTCCTTTCTAACAAAAAAATAAACCTCAAAATCGGTTCATAAACGACGGAGTTATCCGCGAACACACATAAAAAAATAAAAATATATACGGTCGAATTGAGAAACCTCCTTCTTTTTTGAAGTCGGTTAATTATTAACTAAAAATTAACTAACTAAATAAATATTTTATTATAAACATTGACATAACCTTTACCCTGGTGTTCCATAAAATAGATCTGTTGGACTGAGCATATAATACATAAAGCACGTACACCTCGATCTACTTTAGAACTTATTTAAAATAAAGCATCGAGCTCAAAGCATCCCTGTCATTTTCATCGCAATCCTGTCAAATAAGTTAATAAAAAAGATCCCACTTATACATAAATATATAGATAGTTTTCACACGCGGCATCAAAACCTTGATTCTTTTCAAGACAAAATAGTATTATTAAATTTAAAAAAAAACCAGTAAAGTGCGAGTCAAACCGGTACACCAAGAGTTCCTTCCTACCCATTATAACGCCATCAAAATTGGTAAATGATCACCACCGATTTTCTCAGGAACGGCAAAAATCGGTGGCGGACTTATAAGGGTTTCTTTTTTCCTTTTAAGGTACGGAACCCTAAAAAGCATCGTTGTGTTATTTATTAATTTGAAATCAAATTCAATTGTGATTCGTCTGGTGAGTAACGTAACCGGAGCCCACTTTATCAAAAGTTGGAACGGGTCTGAAACCCTACGGGTGTTTCAAATGTTCACGGGCGGCGGATATCTCTTGGCATCAGGTGAAACGCCAGCTCGCTTAGCTCCGTTTCACATAAAAAAATCAAAAACAAAAAGAACGCTCTCAAATTTCAAACACATGAAATAATATCTATTATTTCGTACATATATACACATACATCTATCTATCTATATTCACATACATATATACATACATCTATCTAAATCTAGTTTTCTTACCTAAGCTTTCTTTATACTTTTAATTAGCACGTAATTTCACAAAAGCAATTCAAGGGGGCGAGCCCACAGGAAATTGAAAACGGCGCTCAGTCAGTTTCCGCTACACTTCACTACTGCTCACTATTCCGCCCTCAACGTCTACAGCATAGATATTTTAATTGAATTAAACAGCAGACATCCGACACACATCGACTTTTCGTTATGCGATGATGTTTGCTGCTTGTTCGCTAAGATAAAAGTAATCTGAGTCTATAAACTTCGCAAGTCTGTGTTATGTACACATGTTAAAATTCTAGCATTCCATAAACAGTTTCCAGTGTACTTTGCAATCCTAGTTTAAGGTTTGTGACACCTCCATCGATACATGTGGACGGAATTATGGCTTAACGTGAGAATTTTTTTTTTCTTCTAATGTCTCATAGTCTGTAATAAAATATTGGTTATGTAATGTTTTTTTTTATTAACTCATATGTACTCGTATTTTGATTTCTGTCTAATACTAAATACTATATGATAATCTACAGCAGAGTTCCTAGAAAGGTTAAAACCAAGGTGCGATTATTGCTAGTTTATATAATACATAAATTTCTTTATTTTATATTTTCATTAAATATATAAACACATTTCTGATCGCGTGAACAAAATAAGATAGAAGAAATAATTTACTAATCACCAAGTGCACAAAGAAAGAAATAAGTGGACTGAATGAGCGAATGGACACATTTATAATAATAGCTGCTGCCCGCGACTACGTCTGCGTAGAGGGGTGAAAATTTAGGGTTGTATGCTGTATCATAAAAAAAATATAAAATTATATAAAAAATAAAATTACGGGTGGACCATCCTTAACATTTAGGGGGATGAAAAATAGATTTTGTCCGATTCTCCACCCGGGCCGATATGCACACAAAATTTCACGAAAATCGGTCGAGCCGTTTCGGAGGAGTTCTATTACAAACACCGTGACTAGAGAATTTTACATATTAGATAATAATAAATATTTTCGGACACATTTTTACACAACGTTCTCTAGTCCTAAACTAAACAACGCTTGTACTATAGCTTCTAGAAAACTGATAAACATACTTAAACATACTTTTATGTTGTAAATAAATACATACTATACATATAAATATAATAAACACCCAGACACCGGAAAAACACTACGTTCATCACACAATATTCTTCCAGTAGTGGGGATCGAACCCACACCCTCTGGCGCAAGATGCAAGTCCACTACTCCCCACGCCAATCGGGTCGTCAATTTGTAAACAGTTACTTTAACCGACTTCGAAAACGGAGGAGGCTCTCAATTCGACTGAATTTTTTTTTATGTTTGTTACCTCAGAACTTTCGGCTGAGTGAACCGATTTTGATGATTCTTTTTTTATTTGAAAGCTGATAATTCCCATGTGGTCCCGTATTAATTTCATTGGTATTGGATCTTGGACTCCGGAGATACGTAGAGAACTCCTGAAGATCAATTATAAAATGTATACAGAGCGAGATATTTGAAGTCGATTTTATTTTTTATGCGAAAATTTGTCAAACGAGCAGACGGTTCACCTGATGTTAAGTGAATACCGCCGCCCATGGACATCTGCCACACCAGAGGGTTACAGATGCGTTGACAACCTTTTGAAAATTGGGCTCCGGCCACCTCACTCACCAGACGAAACGCGAAAGTATTATACTTCCACTTTACGCTGGTCTTCTGTGAGGTCGTGGTACTTACCCGGACGGGCCTGCCCATTCGTGCAACAGCCGACACTGCTGCGTGGCCCCACCACCGTAGACAGTTTTGTTTTTCGTTAATAAAAAAAAATTACTTGTTTTCAGTTGACGTACGCCGGGTCGTGCAGAGGCACCGACACCCGCAGTCGGCGCAGCGACATTGCATCGGGTCGAAGTAGAACACGTGCTTCGAGAGCCGCTCTACAACATAAAATAACTCCCTAAAACTGCTCAACTCATTAAATGGTGTATGAAGTACCTACCCTACTTATTTAAATAAAAAATTAAGAACAATTAAAGTCAATTACTTTTATTTTACCACAGAACATTATTTAGCCAAAGGCGTTAAAATATATTCATGTCGCAAGAGAGACAGAAATGTCAAAGTCACATAAAGCTTGTAGCTTAAAGCGAGATATTCGATTGAAACGTCCGTGGAAATATTAATTTGTATAATAATCACCAATATTTATCACAGCAAAATATTTCTATCCCTTGTACATGATTTTATAATCTGTCTCAGATTAATTGTTCAATAAACTGTTTATTGTCTCATTATTTCTGATATAAATAAAATAATATAAAAAACACATCCCTAAATATTAAGTTTACAGTGTTAAAAGTTTGTTTATAAGGAAGTATATACCCGAAAAATATTGCTCAAATAAACGATATTTATGGATACCACAATTAAATCCAATTTCTGAAAGGTATTTTAGTGACATACGAAATCTCTTAACTTTAGGATCACATTATCCTGTGTTATAAGGACGTTTTTCAAACAAGAATTTCACGTGGACGAACACCCAGATGCGAGACAAATGTCTATGGGTCACACCAATAGTTGTCCCGTGTGGGAATCGAACCCACGACCCCCGACGCCGAAGTCAATACCTTGGCAACTGCGCCACGGAGTCATCAAAGGAAGAATAAAGTTTGTGACTAACAATTATACAATAGCAATATTGGCATACCTAGTTACATCGCAGCATTTTCTTGAACCGAGTCATTAGAAACGCACCAAGTACGAAAACGCAAGGCGAAAATTGTGAAAACTTCGCACAAAATAGCAAATTTTTCATTAAGTCATATCATCATTTATAGTTCTAGATTTCTCTAAAATTATGTTTGTTTCTTATTTAAAAATTATGTAAACAGTTTTACTAAATTTATCGCAATTCCTTTATAAACCTTTTTACTGGTTCACAAACCAAAAATCCTTTAATAGCAGTATAAAACTAATCAAATTTTTTAATAAATATTTAATTTAAAAAATTTACTCTCTTAACGCAGCGATAGTGTAGCATCACACCATTTTTTTACTCGGGAGAGTTGTTTGGTGTATTTGTATAGGTAACTTATGCATAAGGAATAATTATTATTCCAGAGTATTTCTCCTTATTTCAAAATTCTAAAACGTCAATCATATAAGATTATTTAATCTAGAAGTAATCTTTAAAAAAATAATAAAAAGTTATATATATTAATAGTAATCCTAAAACAGGTCTCCCGTAGACACGAATAGTCGATTCGCAGATACTGTTTAATCAATAGACATAAGGGTACATGGCAACGAGTTCTCGCAATGGCTGGCAAGGGAAAAGGAAAGAAAAAAGAAAAGAAATCTAAGGAGGACGGTGGCGATAAAAAGAAAGGTAAAAAAGGTGGTGGCAGATTGAAGAAAGGAAAGTCTAAAGGAAGATGCCACGTTGATATGCTGACAGACGCAGCTATGGATAATGTTTACTACGCTTGTCATAACGTCCAAGAACTGCTGCAGGCGAGAGGTTTTCATCCACCAGACTTCAACAAGAAGAAAAAGAAAGGAAAACGTTAAAATTATTACTAATCTCTCTATATATTTACTTGCACCAGTTACTTTGCTTTGGTTTCAATAAAGATCTTATTAAAAAAAATCGCTATCATTTGAAACTCTTGACTGATTTTTAATTTATGTAAATTGTTCCATACAAAAGTAATGCAGACATTCATATTAAGATCAATAAATTATTTAGTATTATCAAACATTTAATGTTTAATAAATTGAAGATCCTCCAATGTAGTTTGTAAAGAAGTTACGATGAAAAATTAGTTCATCGACAAAGAAATAGATTTTTTATATTAAACCTCTTTTAATTCTTACATTTAAGATTAAACAACTTAACGTGAAACGAGATTTCGTGTCAAAAATGTTAAAGATGACTGTTTGATTTTAAATTTCTGTTGTGTTTACTCAAGAAAATTTTGAAAGAAAGCCGCAAAATGAAACAATTCTACCCAACTCCATATGTTTATTTGTAAAATTTGTGAATGTAATAGGAGTGAGTGTAACCAACTAAGTATTGGAACTGTATTTTTTTTAATATATCATTTATTTCATATTATTCTTGTTGGTTTTTTCAAATCCAAACCTAAAATGACAAATATATGCATAGATTTTAGAATCACTATACCTTACTTTGAAACCAGCTGAGTTCATTAGAAGTCTATTTGGTAAAGGTAAAAAACTTTAACTCCGGCGTAATTCAAATCAAATAAANAAAAGTTCTTTACACAGTTCTGCCAACATGATAAATATAGGAAGCGGGCGACATCATACACGTATCGATATTCCGATTTTTTTAATTTAATGAGACACAGAACCGACACAGAGCGAATCCGACTCGGATAGATTAGGTTAGAAGGTTCAGGCGGGAGCGGAGCTCCCGCCTTAACCTTCGATGTTAGGTTTTTTTTTTATGACCACCAAGAAATACGAGCTGAATTGACATATTGACAACAAAAAATGGCGGATTTCTATAGTAAAAATCACACTATTTCATTATTTATTTTTTTCGAAAACTATAAGCGACCGCCAAATTCTGCTTGTTGATAAATTCATAAGTGAGTTTTCTCTATCGTTTAAAATTTATTTGATTTGAATTACGCCGGAGTTAAAGTTATTTACATTTACCGTCTATTTATATCAAAACAGTAATGAATATAAATTTATCAAAAATGATAAATAAATAGACGTTAAATACGTAATTATATTACATTAAACATGTCAAATTCGTATATAGCTGGGTTTGTTTTGCACCTGCGTCAAGCTTTCTCTACTCCCAGTAGAGAATGCTTATAGCCTACATAAATATGTCCCAATGCCTGGCAAATGACTCCTCTCATATCTGTACGGATATATTCTACGTTTATTATACAGATATACCTATATATCTGTATAATAAACGTAATAATTAACGTAATTAACATCTTAGCAGATTTTAAGCTGCAATGTCAGTGCCGTCAGTGGGAATAGACCTCGGGACCACGTACTCCTGCGTTGCCGTGTTCCAAAATGGCAAGGTGGAGGTCATCGCTAACGACCAGGGCAACAGGACTACGCCTTCGTACGTTGCCTTCAACGATACCGAAAGACTGATCGGTGACGCGGCGAAAAATCAGGTAGGTACCCATGCTGCAATGCTTTTATAATTAGTGACTCGACTTTACAAACATTGAAAACGTTTTTCGTACTGGTATTTTAAATCCTGTCAACTACATCACTTTACATACCATATACACTTGCGTTCATATTTCCTGTTTATAGGATCATTTTTGTATAATAAATAAAAATCAAATATTTATACTTACAACTTCTACTTACATAATGTCAACTATTATTATCCATTTTCATACTATAACGTTTAATTGTTGCAGATTGCTATGAACCCAAAAAACACAGTATTCGATGCAAAACGTTTGATAGGAAGAAAATTTGATGATCCCAAAGTACAACAAGATATAAAACACTGGCCATTTAGTGTCATTTCGGAGAAAGGTAAGCCAATGATTATAGTTGAATACAAGGGTCAGTCGAAGAAATTCTCTCCCGAAGAAATTTCTTCCATGGTATTGACTAAAATGAAACAAACCGCTGAGACGTATCTCGGTGGTACCGTCAAAGATGCCGTAATAACAGTGCCCGCATATTTTAACGACTCGCAGCGACAAGCAACAAAAGATGCTGGGGTAATCGCAGCGCTTAACGTCCTCAGAATAATCAATGAGCCGACAGCCGCAGCTCTCGCCTATGGCTTAGATAAAGATTTGAAAGGTGAAAAAAGTGTTTTGATTTTCGACCTGGGCGGTGGCACGTTCGACGTATCAATACTCCAAATAGCTGAAGGTTCACTGTTCGAAGTTAAATCTACAGCGGGCGATACTCATTTGGGGGGCGAAGATTTCGACTGCCGAATGGTTGATTACTTCAGTGAGGAGTTCGAAAAGAAATATAAAAGGAGTATTAAGGATAATCCAAAAGCTATACGGAGACTAAGAACGGCATGTGAAAGGGCTAAAAGAACTCTTTCTTCGAATACAGAGGCCACTATAGAGATAGACGCTTTACACGAAGGCATTGACTTTTATTCAAAAATGACCAGAGCAAGATTTGAAGAACTGTGTTCGGATTTATTCCGACAAACACTGACGCCAGTTGAAAGGGCATTAAAAGATGCGAAACTAAACACTAGGGAAATACACGACGTAGTATTGGTAGGCGGTTCTACAAGGATTCCGAAAGTTCAGAGGATATTACAGGTGCACAAATTTAGCTAGTATCTGTTTCGTTATGATATAGAATTATTTGCTACATGAATATCCATTTTTTGCTTTAGGAATTTTTCGGCGGGAAAACGCTGAACCTGTCAATTAATCCAGACGAAGCTGTAGCATACGGCGCGGCCGTCCAAGCAGCCATCGTTTCCGGATCGAAGGACACTCGTATACAAGATGTGCTCTTAGTGGACGTAACACCTTTGTCACTAGGCATTGAGACTGCAGGTGGCATTATGACAAAGCTCGTCGATAGAAATACCCGAATACCAATTGCGCAGAAAAAGATATTCTCAACTTACTCAGACAATCAGCCCGCTGTCACAATTCAAGTAAGTGACATGCAGACACTATCGATAGAAAATAAGCTCAGTGGCTAGAGCGTCAGGCCGCGAATGCCGAAGACATGGGTTCGATTCCCACAACGGCGACAATCTTTTCGCACTTTTTCTACATATTTTAATGTTCAATCTTAAGTGCAAAGATTAGCACTATAAACAATTTAAATTTCTAATTTCATTTCAGTTGGGTTTTCTTTATTTTATAGATATACGAGGGAGAAAGAGCAATGACGAGGGACAATAATTTGCTAGGAACATTTAATCTCTCGGGTATACCACCCGCTCCAAGGGGTCTACCACAAATTGAGGTGACTTTTAACCTATAAATAGCGTTGAAAATATATAACCATATTCTTATTTTAATTTAATCTCTACGAATTCCAGTAGATATTTGTGCTTGGCGTTAGTTGAATATTGGTAAGCGTGGTTTCGATATTAATATATAGTTGATGTACAAAAACCTATTCAAATCCAAGTTTTAATGAATTCCTTTCAGCAGTTACAGCAAAAACATTAAAAATGTTGGATTGGTCTTCAATTTCAGTGCGAAACGCATTAATGATACCCCTTTTGTAAAATTTACGATACGGTTCGTTAGTTGCCATTGACATCACCCAAAAATACGTACAAATTTTAAGTGCAATAATATATGGTTGGAAATATTCCAGGTCACATTCGATATCGACGCAAACGGAATATTGAATGTAAGCGCCGAAGATCGAAGTACCGGCAGATCCGAGCGCATAACCATATCGAACGATAAAGGTCGCCTCAGCAAGAACGAAATCGAGAAGATGCTGCAGGAAGCGGAAAAGTTTAAGGCCGAAGACGAGGCAGTGAGGAAGACGGTAGAATTGAGAAACCAGTTAGAGGCGTATCTGTTTGGATGCAAAACAGTATGAACAAAAAGTTATTTATTGATTTTACGGGCTTTCATTTTTAATCTTCCTCGTAGTACAAATTAAATTAATTTGCGATTCTAACAAATGTTTTCTACTATTCTTTATACATTGCTGAAGTTTACTTAAATTGCATTAATAAAAAAAGTAATAATTAATACAACTGAAGATAAAACCAGCTACAATGTAAAATGAGCTTAGACCCGTGATCCTTTGACACTTTAGCTCTGTTTGTTTTATCTAAAACAATCTAATCCGTTGTAAGATGTCAAGGATCTTATTTGGACCTCAAACCAACAACTTATGTAGCTACCGGATCAACCTATATATTTTGTTCTTCCATCAGACAATAGAAGTGAGAGTCTCTCAAACTAACAACTGCTCTCATCAGACAACAGAGGTGACTTTCTTTCAAAGAAGATGATATTCGTATTACAGGCAGCCGAAAACTCCGGTAGCAGGCTTACGGACGGCGAGCGCAGCGAAGTGGTAACGGAGTGCAACAACCAGCTGCGTTGGCTGGAGGGGAACCTGAACGCCTCCGCTTCGGAGTTGGAGCAGCGGTTGAGGGCGGCGCAGAGCGTCTGCCAGCCGGCCATGATGAAGCTGCACGGAGCCATGGGCGGCAGGCCGGGCAGTGCTGACGGGCCGAGGGTCGAAGAGCTGGACTGAATCGCACATCCGCGTGATATTAAAAAGCAGACCCGCGGACGCTTCCAGAAGGGAGCACTCGCCAGAATAAAATGTCGAGTGACAGCCACCACAAGTGCCGAAAAGTGGGCGGTAAATTTTGGGTAGATCCAAAGCCGTGGGCGATAGGCCAGATAGTTCTGACGGCCCGAGGATCGAAGAGCTTGAATAAATCAGACGTCCTCGTGAAATAAAAACACAGCCATACGGAAGCTTAGAGATATTGGCCAGTTTAAAATGACGAGTGACTACTACCACAAGTATCGAAAAGTGGACTTTAAAATTTTATTTGGACCATTGCTCGTTAATGGTGTGAGGAAAGATTATGAGGCTACACGGAGCCGAGGGCGATAGACCGGGCAGTGCTGGCAGCCCAAGGTTCGAAGAGTTGCACTGGTCGTACATCTTCCTGAACAAGGAGCCCCGCAGAATATTCCAGAAGGAAACACTGGCCAGTTCAGAATGCCGAATGGCGACTACCACGAGTATCGAAGTGGACTTGTGGATGGTGTGATATTAAGTCGCACAACTCAATTACTCAACGAGCATTTAGGCGATAAAATTGCAGGCACTTTTTTTGAGTTGCAGTTGGTTCGACTTACTCTCATTAAAAACCCAATTTCACGCTACGGTTTTTTTTTATTTTTTGTAATAAAATTATGATTTCAAAGGGCTGACTTTAGAAAATATAAGACGATTTCCTTCTAAGTTTGTCTTTCGTGCGAGCTTAGGGCACTCAGTGATTTATTGGATAGTTTTACAGTCAGTACGGGCGGTTTGGGTCCTAGTCGGGACAAGAATTCGTGTGTGAAAACAGAGGACCCAGTGAGGGAGTTTTTAAAAATTGAATAGAGTCCCCAACAAAATTTTATGCAAAAAGAGAATTACAAACAAAATGCTACAAGCGATCAGGATTACGATATGTAATTAGGACAGTAATGAGTAAACTTCTCCATGTCCTAGAAAAAGCAATGTTATTATGCTTTTTCTAGGACATGGAGAAGTTTACTCAAAAAAAGTTCGCTGTTGCTTGAATGGGCAGGTCCGTCCGGGTACAACGACCTAACAGAAAGACGGCGTTTCGTTTAGTGAGAGAGGTAGCCGGGGCCCATTTTATTAAAAGATGGGAACGCAGCGGCAACCCTGCGGTAAATGAGGACGGCGGTTTTCGACTTACATCAGGTGAACCACAAGCTCGTTTGCCACTTTCTCAAATAAAAAAAACGTTATATGTCTGTTATTTTAACAACATTATTAGTCAAATTCCCGAAGCGACTGGTCTTTAATATTTGCCTAGGGAATGAGATTTGGTTCAAAAATGAAAACCGTTTTCACAATAAATTAGAGCAAACAAGAATGAAAGTGATTTATTCGTCTAACAACAAACGCAAATCATTACTTACAAAAATATAACAATTTATATTATTAAATAAAATTTTTCTTATTTTTGGTACACGAGAAATTTCTCGCAAGTCTATAAGGTAACATTGTGATACATAGGGAGAATTTTAAAAGCTTTAATTACATTTTTTTTCTCAGGCAATGGTAACGTTTTAAAAAAAATAAATGCACCATATTTTAATTTAATCTAATTCTAAAGTAATTTTTACATAAATTAAAAAAAACTAACATAATGGAAGCTTAATACGAATATCTCTTTCTCTCTCTTATTCTCTTTCTGTTAGGAATATAAAATTTAAGAGCTCTACACTATGTTTTTACAACGAAATACAACGATATTTTATATCATAGATATACAAAGTCACCGGTCGAAATTCCAAAAACAAGTTTCCGTTTCCAAAATAGAGTGACAGTACACATTTACACGTTTCGTCCGAAAGTTGTGAAAAGGATAGCGTTACTTAAGACAATAGCAAAAAAGGGGACAGCAAGTGTTCGTCACTTTAGCATAAGGTTAATCTTGAGATGCATCCGTCTTTCTCGTCCCCCAATTAAATTTATACGCTGCCTCTTTCTTTGTTTGCCACGAAAACGTACTATGCAAACGAAATATGTGAATTTGTGCTGTCACTGGTTGGAAATGTTAACATTTTCGACGTTTCAATTAGGACGTTTTCTTTCTTCAATTCGTATGTATATCATGGAGCACAAATTAAATCACAACGCTATTAATATGTATTTAATGAAATATATAATTTAAGTTTGCACCTTCCACCGAAAAGCTACACGTTATTTCAGCTATTTCTGAAATTTGGTCCTTCTAACTAGATAATACAACGTGTAATGCCTTTTCATGGAACACTTAAAAAATAACATAAAATATATTGAAATATGCATCAAGCATAATTTAATTAATGCTTGAACGTAATTAATGAACGTAAGAAAATCATTATAAAAATAATAGAAAAACAAATAATTTTCTCCTTACTTGCTGGGTTTGAACCCAGCAAGCCATAGCCAAGATGGGTCAATTTTTCTATAAATTATTGCTATAGAAGAGCGACCTTTATTCCAATACCACCAGTGGTATATGTGGATAAAAAAATGTAACTTATAAATATTTTTATACCAAAATGTTAATATATTAATCGATCACTTCACCTCGTAACACTTCACAAATCGATAAAATTTCTGTTATATTTAGTCAAGTCAAGTCTAGTTAATTTCTATCATTTTCTGTTGTGTCTATTTTGATTTGCGGCATAAAGTTATTATGAAATAATGTATTCACTAATTTTGTACTCTTACAAATATTTTGAACTCTACAAAGCATCGATAAAAATTATGGGACTTCATTTTAAAAGTGCAGGAGTTAGAACAAGTTTGTTCTTACTGACATTTTACATATCTGACATTTTGCCATAACCTCAAAACTGTAACTTAAATCAATTTATTTTATTATTCCTATCCATTTTATAAATATATTTATCTATTACAAATAAAAATGTATAAAAACTATCTACAATCTTAAACAAGGCACATCCCATTGTGACAATTTGTTACAAATGTAGACCTTAGCTTAGACAAAGCGAACTTTTCGAAATATTTTTTAAGTTTCCTGCAACTATGACTATCTTCTGGAGATAAATTTTCCTTTTATATTTATTTCTGAATTTTAGGAAGAGGAAAATGGGAGTAAATGTTCTCTTATAATCGAATTAATAAGGTCAACTTTTCGTTGCTGCAAGGTTGTCGACTGTGCAAATTAAATAACAGATTATTAATGTTTTAGAGCAAATCTGAAAATTAGAAAAGTATGTCATGTGTTTTAAACTATAAACTTATATAAACTTTTATCATAGTGTGTGTAGTGTTTCACCTAGCCATGGTTTAACGGAAATGAACGCGTATATTAATCGAGAACATATAACTAGCAATAATATAATAATAAATATTTATAGCAGAAAAGTCACGGGTGAACTAACTGGTAATGTCTGCTGTACAAATAGATAATAAATAATAAATATGTGAACTTATACTTCTAGTGACAGGATGTTAAGATTTATAGGGACTCGTCAATTTAATAAAAACTCGCTTGCCAAGGGGCTCCGGACTCCTCGACTAAAGTGTAAAGAGAAAATAAAGGATGCTACAAAAAGCTTGGAAACCCTGTACCGCATAATTGTCTAAAACAAAATCACAGACTCGCGTCCCAATTATCTGATTGCTAATTTAAATGGCAACTAAATCCTACATCTCTATATTGTTCGCAGCATCCGCTGTATGAAGGCAGCTTGGATCTCATCAGCTCTGTAATTAAACGAAAAACAATTTTAAGAACTGAAGCGATCACACTATAAAAAACTTTAAAATTTATAAAAAAGCAATGGCGACATCTCTCGTTCGAATTATCGTTGTAAAACGATATTCGAAATTGTTTGTATGCTGGAAGGGATATAACACAATAGATGCGCCAAGCATTGCTTCAGATGCTAAATAACAATGTAGAAAGAAGGCGTTAAGATTTTCGTCGCTGTGGCTATCAACCGTTTAGCTCAGTGACTAGAGCGTCAGGCCGCAAATGCCGAAGACGTGGGTTCTACATGTTTTAAAGCAGAAAAATATTTCGCCAATTTCATCTAAATATTTTAATGGTCTAAAATCATGAAAATCGTTTTCACTTATTAAGAGAGGGGAAACTAATTTATAACACCATTATAGATAAATCGGTACAAAAAATCAGTAGTTAGAAGTCACGAAAACTCACTTAGAACTGGTGACGGTGTGCATCAGGTTGATGATGTAGCGCGGGCAGACATCCTCGTGCATAACCCGGGCGTGGAACAGCAGACCCTGGCAGAGGCAATACAGGATCTCCACCAAGGGCCAGTTCTCTGGTATCATGCCCTTCTGGTAGCCCCACGAGCCCAAAATCTGGTTGAAAGGACCAATTTTTTTTATAACTCGATTGTGGCAGTAATTATGCGATACGTTTTGGTTTTGATTCCCATCCGGGACGAGTATTCTTATATTCATTATTATAAAAAACGTGTTACTCATGATTTTTATATGGATCTGCGTGTTTGTCTTAGTGAAGTTTGTTTGTAAAGCGCTCCTAAGGGAAATTTTATCTATATTTATAGGAGCCCAATTTCCAAAAGGTTGTCAACGCATCTGTAACCGCAGATGTCCATGGGCGGCGGTATTCACTTAACATCAGGTGAACCGTCTGGCAACTCGTTGGGCAACTTTTCACATAAAAAATAGGTAATTTAAATAAAAACAATAGAAATAATTATTGCTAACCCATCAGCTCACAAGATAACAAACACAATTGGATAACTGCTTACTGAAGTGTAGTGAATTGAGTCATGGTTACGTAAGTGGTACTTAGCGTAACCATTTTTTTTATCCTTTTATGTCTCACGTAGTGTTGGCAAGCGGGCAAGCTGTTCGCCTGATGTTAAGCGATTACCGCTAGCCATGGAGATCTCGGACACATCAAAAATTGGGCCCCGGCTACCTAACTCACCAGATGAAACACAAGTATAATACTTTCACTTGACGCCGGTCTTCTGTGTTGTCGCTGTAATTTCCCGCGTGAGCGGCCCTAGCACAGTTCAAATGTAAAGCAAAATATTAATTCTTATCGACGACCCGATCGTCGTGGGAAGTGGTTAATCTGCCCCTTGCACGAGAGGGTGCGGGTTCGATACCCACTACTGGAAAAATATTGTGTGATAAGTGTTTTTTCCAGTGTCTGGGAGTTTATATATGTATACTATTTATTTATTTACAAAATAAAAGTATGTTTAAGTACGTTTATCAGTTTTCTTGTACCCATAGTACAGGAGTTGCTTAATGTAGGACTAGAGAACGTTCTGTAAAAATGTGTCGGCAAATATTGATTTGTTCATGTACCTGTAACGAGGACGTCAGAGGGGCCAAGGCGATTGGCGTGGACGGTGATGCCCTGAGCGCCGCCCCGGCGAGGAAACCAGCGGGCACAGCATATAGCGCGCTATCTTTCCCATAATTCCGGCACAGTAGGCAAACCACGAGCTGCAACGCAGTACACACACCGCGTGAATGCCATTTTTGAAAACATGTAGTGTTCGATAATCAAATATCAACTCTATTTTGCAGTGAATAGGAACGCTTTTACAGCCTCTTCTTTTTTTATATAAAATATCTAAACAATTATTCGAGACCCTTTAAAAATTTACTTGTACTATAAGCATTATAAGCATAACCAAAAACAATGAATGTCTTATAGTAGTACTTGTATTTCCGACTTAGTTAAACCAATGTTCAAAATTTCGTATTAACTAGCAAGGCTGACTGACGTATTTAAATAATACAGTACCCGGAGGACCGAGCTTTGCTCGGTTTGTTTTTTTTTTTGGTAAATCGTGTATTTTAGAAATTTAATTTATCGATCTTACCGACGTAATAATAAGAAAATATGAGCTGATGTTTTTCACAAAAGAAAGAACTTTAAAAAAAAGGGAATAAAATAACAAAATAACAAATCGACAAAAAATTAAAAATAAACAAAGCAATGATCTGGAATCGAAAAAAAGTAAAAAAATAAATGTGTAAATGATCGTGATGCGAACTACGGCCGTCTGTTTTGGGGCCGCCCGATTACCGACCGAGCTATTATGACATTTTCTCTTGCGGCGAAATTTACCGTCATATTCGAATTATATTTTTCCTTCCCTGAAAACAGGGATAAAAGGACATTTTCTAAAAATGAAACCTAGCAAGATCGATTTTCCGCCCCCGAATCTATGCGCATACTAAATTTCATAAAAATCGCTGGACCCGTTTCCGAGATTCCGATTATATATATACAAGAATTGCTCGTTTAAAGGACAAGAAGATATGTATATAAAAATCAAGGCAGGCTATGCTATGCTCCAATCATATTGCTGTATGTTTATGGTTTCGTATTTCATTCGTCGTTAAGAGAATCGTAGAATCACTTTATTGTTCGTCTTTAAGTCTATCCGTATCTCGGTCGCAGGGACCTTTTGTCTCATGATTGAATGGAGATATCTAATTGAAATTTATATCAAATACTAAGGTCTCTGGTCTCTTTGTGATGTAAAATAAGCATCTAAATGAACGCAATCACAAGAAATAGTCAGTTACTTAACATATCTTAATACTTATAAATACTTGGTGACACCCCGTTGACCTAAAATCACGAACTTTGGCATGAGGCAAGGAAAATTGTTAACTAACTTTGTATGGAATCCTATAAGCGCGGGACATATATACAAATGGCCCTAATATGTTTTCAGTAGTTCAAAAACCTTCGCAGTCATACGCGTAACCGCCCTACCCCAGGGTAATCGAAAAAAACCGGCCAAGTCCAAATCCGATTCGCGTACTAAGGGTTTCGTGCCATTATCTTTAAAAAGTTAATAAAAATCATCATAGTATTGGAGCCCCACTTAAATATTTGTTTATTCTGTTATTAGTGTTTGTGCAAATTCCAACCGTCTAGCTAGCACGGTTCATGAGACACAGCATGATGACAGCCGGACATACAGACAGAAAGACAGACAGCGGAGTCTTAATAATACGGTCCCGTTTTACCCTTTGGGTACGGAACCATAAAAGAAAATGGAACATTTATAATTTTTATAACGTAAGTTTTTCCAAATGGTGTCAGGGAAAACAATGTTATTTTCTAGTTCCGAAACGTGACTTACAAGAAATTAAATCAACAATCAATTATTTTATCTATGTATTTTATTATACCTAGTGGTCTAACGTACTTTACCAACGAAGTTTCTTTGAACATTAATGAATATTGCATTTGGAAATTACAACAACCATCACTGTTAAATGTAAATACTAAAATATAAATATAATTATGCATTACATAAATTAGAAATAATATAAATGAAAAAAAAAAAATATTTATCGCGTTACGCGCTACGTAGTAATTAACAGTAATGAATAAAAGTTTAAAAAATAAATGATTCCAGCCTTTTGCTTATTTCTGATACTGCCAGTTCTATTGTTATTAATTCTTTTCTTAAATGGATAATAAAAAACGAATACATTTCTTAATATACGTGGTTCGTTGAGATTTGTATACATTTCTAAGTCGGCCATGCTGAGACTCATGAATAATATGCATGAAGCAATTATAGCGCGTTTTTTCTTCAATTTGAACTTTAGAAAAAATCGGAATACTTTTTCCTTGGCTATTGTTAAAACACTCGGTAAGTTGGATTTACGAATGCTTATACAGCCAGTCGCGGATTAGATTCCCACATAGTATACCAATGTAGTACGCAGTACATCGTTCCAAATAAGATGTTGGCACATGTACTCGTGTGTAAAATTGTGGGTAAACTGCTCTAATCGGTAAATCGACCAAGATGAACAATGATTTTTATGGTGGTCATTTGGCAAACGGACGAACGGCTGGTATAGGGTTACCACCACCTAAGACACGCCACATCAGAATGGATGCAAGTGCGTCGCGAATGGGTGGCAGGTATAGCACCTGAAGGGCCACGCAACAGCATTCTCTGCTGCACGAATGGGCTGAGTAAGTACCACGGCCACGCAAAAGACCGGCGTGAAAGTATAATACTTTCGCGTTTCGTATGGTGAATGAGGTAGCAGGGGTCCACTTATAAATGGTCGGCAACACTCATTCAACCCTTCTGCAGTAGATATCGAGGTAACATCAGGCGAACAGCCTCCTCTCTTGACAAATAAAAACATAGAAGGTACATCTCACGTGTATTGTGTCACGAATAGAAAGCACTGAGTCAGTTTCACTCGCCCATATTTTTCACCAACGAAACAACGAAACTTTCGTGATAAATTAACATTAGTGATAATAATAAAACCGCCTTACCCTGTATATGCCGATGTAACCGCCGAAGAACAGGCCCAGCTTCAAATGGGACAGCCTCAAGGAGCGAAGCGCTTTTGCGGGCGTCAAAATCCGAGGTATTATTGTGCGGAGCATCGACATTGCGCAGCCCACGCCGAAGAGCTGTGCCGTGCCCTGTAATGACGATTTATATGTGACAAGGTGGCAACCGAGCTGGCGGTTCACCTGATGTTAAGTGATAACCGCCAACCATTGACATTCGCAACATCCGTAGGGTTGCAGATGCGTTGCCACCTCTCACAAATAATTGAAACTTAAAACGTGTAGATATAACTGATATAATATTTCGAAGCCTACTAGAACTCTAATCTGCACATTCCGATTGACGTTATGGGACGTTTTATCCACTAAGATAAGGACATCCTCACCGTGTAAAAATCCAGACGTCGTATCCTTTTTTTTTATGTGAAAAGTTGCCAATCGAGCACTCGAGACTGCTACATCCGAGGGTTGCAGGTGCGTTGACAACCTTTGAAAATTGGGCTCCGGCTACCTCACTCACCAGACGAAACGCGAAAATATTATACTTCCACTTTACGACGGTCTTCTGTGAGGTCGTGGTACTTACCCGGGCGAGCCTGCCCATTCGTGCAACAGCCGCGTGGCTGCTGCGTGGCCCTACCACCGTTATGTACCTTCTTAATATTGCATTCTTAACAATGCTTAGCACTTTTATCAAAGGTAACTTTTATCTTAATTTCAGAAACTAGCAGATTAAAATTAAAAACTAAATCTTTATAAAAAATTTATATTTTCTTCATGATTATTTATATATATCTCACATGATTTTCCTCCGATGATTTCATTCAACGTAAGCGCATGATAAAAACTGAGTAATAGAAACCAATGCAAGAGACCCCACGCTATTGAACTTAACACGACAGGATATAGATAGTGCTAACAACACCTCACTGAATGATTGGCGTGACGTGCCTGTCAGCGCACATGCAGCACAGACCCGACCAGGCTCTTCCATTGAACTTTATTGTGCACGCCACAGTAATTCACATAAATACTTGTCCCCTGTGGAATCGAACGCATCACCCCCACTACCAAACTGTGACTTATCGAAATGCCTATCAAAAGTAAATAAAACATTTACACACTTCAAGGACTAAGGTGGAATGATCTGTTTTTAAAACGGCATTTGATTGCGTAAACGTTAATTGACTTTGATAGCGGTGAATACAAAAAAAACTAGACCGTTAGAAAACCCGTTTGTTACGTGATTCTGCCCGCTCGTGCATATTTCTAAGTCAGCCCGTGGAGAAAAAAATATCTGAAGCATATACTTTTAAGTTTTCTAGATGTAAAATACGATATTAAAAACCATTTACCTATTTATCCTCGTATAATTAATACAAGATATATTATTATTGTCGGCATTTTGATTTATGACTCCATCTTATTGGTAATTTAAATCATTTAAACAGAATCAACTTTAATCTATTAGAAGCACGGCGAATCCCTTATCTAATTTTGAGTGCAAAAACGTTTAAGCACATTTTTCTTTCTCCCGCCCTTATCCCACACTTTTCTATATTAGCAGTCATCTCAATACTCATCGCTTTTACAGACATATTATCATTCTGCACACAGTCCATCCAGATTTTCCTCGCACTTCCTCTTATTTTACTTTACACCCTCCAACCACATTCATATTGATCACTCTACTAGTCACATGACTTCCCTTCTCATAATGTGCCCATACCATGCCAACCTACGTTATCTACCTAAAAACGTTAAAGCACTTAAAAAACATGCATTAACGTGAAAATCTCTCTAACTAATTTATTTACATAAATATACATATCTATACATATATTAAAAGCTTCGGTAATATCAATTTTGAAATGAAGTATATATGATAAATTTTCAGCAAAGCATATTTTAAAAGGTTTTAGTTGCAGTGGCGGATTTAACAGCAGGCTAACTAGACTAGATCCTATGGCGGCAGATTTCAGGGGGCGGCAATTTTGGCCCAAAATTTTTGTCGTGTTTCAACTATATTTAACCGTATTTTTAAGGCATACCTTTTTATAATTACACCGTACAATAACCGTTGTATAATTAGTTACCGTTTTATAATTAGAACTAGATTGAGCTTTTTAGGTCAAAAATAAACCCAAAAACTATTCTTCGTGTATAATTTTCACTAAATCTTGGGTTGTAGAAATAATCTAAAAACGGACACAACAAAACCCTAGTTCAAAATTATGTTAATAACTAGAAAAAACTGATGTATTGAAGACGATAGACCAAAAATCATAACGTTGCAATTTTATCGAGAGAATAAAAACATAGAACTACGGTATCGAATTCCAGAGGTCAGTAGGGGCGGCAAAAATTGAACAGCCTGTTGGCTGAAATTTTGCAAATCCGCCACTGTTTAGATGACTACATATTGAACCAATATCGAAGTCAACGCTCGGTCAATAATTTAATTGTGCTCAATTCCTTGAGGAACAATCGTGCTGCGTAATGGCAATCTGGCCGGAAGTATTGTTTTATTGTGTGTTTAATTAGGACATGTCATTTGAAAACGCAGTTATATATATTTAACGGACTCAAGTTTGTTCATGACTTTGGCAACAGAAGCAACACTCGTTTATTATTTTAATTTGTTGTATTAATCTTTTTACTATACTAACTTGCTCGCTCCGACTTCGCGTATGTACAAAATGTGGTAGTAAATATTTCCGTCTTACTTTAAGTGAATAAATATCACAATATTCATTAATGTGATGACAGATAGTTTATCGGTTGAAAGTGGACCTTTAAATATGTCTGCATTTTTTCTTATACAGCGTGTCGTTACCATCGCGACAATAAATGAACACACGTCTAACGCTACGTGCCAATAATCATAAAAAATATTAACGTAAAACAAAATCCATAATTAAAAAATAATATTTTACAAACAAACTAATTAAGTAAAAAAGAAACAAAATTTGTAACATCCTATACAACTCACGCCACAGCGTCGTATTACTAGCCTTCCTTCTAACAGTATGTTTTGTTTCTTTTAAATTCATTCAACCCATTCATATGCTTTGTGACTTTTACAAATGAACTTTACGTTACGCTTTTATAGGTAAGGATGTTCTAAAATTCTTTGTTTTGGAAAATTTAATAACTCTGTAAATATTGATGTTTAAAGAATTGAAATGTTTAATACAACTTTAAAAACTTATCCCCTATATGTGTGTTCAATTATTGTCGCGATGGTAAAGACATGCTGTATATCTAGGATGGAAATTACATATCACAAAATTTTAAAACTTATAAAAAACTGGGAAAAACTTTTATTTGAATACGTAACCGTTACAAGTGCATAAGGATAGTGTTTTTTAACAGTTCAATATGTATTAGAGTTGACTGATAAAGTACAAATAACCAATTTTAGCTTTTTATAATATCAGTATTGTCTTATTACGTCACTTTAATAGAACGGAAACTGTGTACAAGACCTCAATCTTTTACGTCAATATTTTAGATGACATCGCATGATACTTCACAATAAACAACCGCGAAATAAATAGTAAATTACAAATAGGAAAATTACACGCATGCATTGATATTTATCATTTTAAACGTTTTAAGCATGCCGATCCTTTGATAAAAATTTGTTATTTCAGCGCTAAATTGACTAAAAACACAAAGCGAATCTGTGCGAACTGTACGGTCACACACCTGAAATGTATAGCATGTATGTAACTCAGTATAGTTTCCTAGCAAGATCAGAAACTGTGAGACTACCATAATATTGCATCATCGAATTTGTAAGGTTACTTATACACGATATTCAAGTAAAATATAATAATAAATGCACACATTCATTCTTGTGATAAATATAATTAATTGATTAGATTAGTGCTCATTGAAGTGGTGTTCTTACATGTTACTAGCTGACCCGACAAACGTTGTTTTTCCATTTAAATTATTTGTAGGGTAGAAAAAATTGTTTGGGGTGGACCACCCTTAACATTTAGGCGGATGAAAAATAGATGTTGTCCGATTCTCTACCCTGGCTGATATGCACACAAAATTTCACGAAAATCGGTCGAGCCGTTTCGGAAAAGTTCAATTACAAACACCGTGACACGAGAATATTATATATAAGATTATCTATTCAACAAAACATTCATTGCTTAGTTGAACTGCTGTCGCTACAACTGTCGACATAATTTTCAAGTTTAAAAAGGCTCTACGAATTATATGGCTACCCATTGCCACTTCAAGTGGTAGGGCCACGCAGCAGCCTCGGCTGTTGCACGAATGGGCAGGCCCGTCCGGGTAAGTACCACGACCTCACAGAAGACCACCGTAAAGTGGAAGTATGACACATACTTTCGCGTTTCGTCTGGTGAGTGAGTTAGCCGGAGCCCAATTTTCAAAAGGTTGTCAACGCATCTGTAACCCTCGGGTGTAGCAGATGTCCATGGGCGGCGGTATTCACTTACCATCAGATGAACCGTCTGCTCGTTTGGGAACTTTCACATAAAAAAAAGCAAACTTACCAATCTTCTGAGCTATGTCGGGTGCTTTTGTTTTACCCCGAATATCTTTAATACAAACTATATCACGCAGAGATATTATTCTATTAAAGTTACTGTGGTAGGGCCACGCAACAGTCTTCGATGTTGCAAAATTGGCAGGTCCATCCGAGGAAGTACCTCCCCCACGGCCGGTACCTCCCCGGATGTACCTTCCAATTCGACCACATAGAAGACCGGCGTGAAATGTGTATACGGGGCAGACGTTATTAAAACGAGCAACGCATCTGCAACCCTACGGGTGTTGCAAATGTCTGTGGGCGTCGGTTGTCACTTAACAACAGGTGAACCGCCAGCTAGCTTGCCACCTTCTCATAAAAAAAACGTTTTACCTTTTACAATAAGAAATAATTTTCTTTTTTTTTGTCGGTGCAATCCATGGATTATCTGAGAAAATTCGTAGATTTTTTATGCCGTAGAGTAATAGCCTTAAGCGATTGCTTATCAATGTCAAATTCTCCGTTCATAAAGACTGAATGTGTGAACAACACATACGTTCATTTTAATAAGTCAAGGTTGTAGCAATATGATACGTGTGACAAGTAGTAAAAATGTAGTCAATTGGAAGTTTAAGTGCGTTTCTGCTCTGTGCCCTTAGTGTTCTGAGATCAAGGCTACAATCGTGTGGTAATGTTCAAGAAATAATAAAAAACAATGTTTTTTACTTAGATCCGCCACAATGAGGATGCGTGTGTTTACCCATATATATTTATTATGCACAAGAAGCCATTTTCCCTGCAGTGAAAAATATACGAATACGACGCCGGTGGTAGTAGGTTCTGTTCCCACCCGGTATTATAACTTTCATAACCTATAGATTTCCAGTAATTGTTCCAGATCGGGAAGTTTCCCTTTTTTTATTATAGGCATCATAATTTTAACTTATCCGAAATATGTTTGTCTCGAAATATGTCGTGAATATGTGAGTTTTCTATTGACTTTAACCTTTGTGGTGAATGATTTATTCACTGTTAATAATAATAACACGCGGGAAAACAATTATTGTTGTCGCTCCGACACGTAAATATCGAAGAGGAAGCTATAATATTATTAGGCCGTTTGTTCAATACGCTCATGAAATCACGAAGGTCAGTAACTCAAGGAATAATAAAATATTTTGATATTTTTGCTTTGCTGGGCTGTTACGGTCTAGAATAACCAATGTTTCACTAAAGAAAAACCAAACCGTCTTCAAATATCTCGCCCCGTATTAATTTTATAATTGATTTTCAGGTGTTCCCTAAGTATCTCCGGAGCCCAAGATCCAATACCAATGACATCAATATGGGACCACATGGGAAGCACCAGTTTTCAAATAAAAAAAGAATCATCAAAAGCGGTTCTCTCTGTCAAAAGCTATGAGGTAACAAACATAAAAAAAAATACAGTCGAATTGAGAACCTCCTCTTTTTGAAGTCGTTTAAAAAGGTCCTGTTTCAATTCTGCACTCAGATTTGATTGTGCTGCAGAGTTGTCCACAGATTTTCACTAAATCCAGCCTACTTCAACTGTTTATTATCTTTTTTTGTTGTAAGGTACTGAACTTCTAAGAGGCTGGATCGATTTTGATGATGTTTATTCTGTGTGTTCAAGTGGATTCGAGGATGATTTACATTAACAATCCGGTCCATTAAAAATGTTTATTTCATAATTTTTTTTATTTATACGTTATTTTCGGATTTAAGACGTATCTACACGACGTGTGTCAGGTCCGCTAGTTAAATTATATATTTTTCTGTGCAAAATAGCGCGAGTCTATAAATAAGAAGTGATAACCATTCCTTTTATTTGATATAGTATATATTATTTTTACGTACTTTGCGGAACGAATAAAAAACAAATTGTGTATGCACAAAGGTTATAAGTCTATATAGATATCATCTTTACATGTTACCTGCTTCTCCCAATTATTGGAATAGCATCGCGTGCTTGACGTAACAAAGTTTTAATGACGAGGATAATGTGAGACATTGAAGTGTAACCTTAAGTGCCTGGCTTCAGTGGCGCGTGGGTACGATTCCCGCACAAGTCACTTACTTGTTCGACAATAAAGCCGTGATAGCTCAGTGTCCGGGCGCTCGCCTTTACTTTAATATACTCGAGAAACCAGAGTTCGATCCCGGTGCCGGCACTAATGAAATTGTTAGTTATAAATGCTGTCTTATCACGTGTTCAGCGGTGAAGGAAAACATCGTGAGGAAACCTGTATATCTTCGAAATAAAACAAAAAAATATTCCAAAGATATGTGAAGTTCGCCAATCCGCAGTGGGGTCGCGAGATAGACCTTAATGTTTTCCTTCACCGCTGAACACGTGATAAGACAGCATTTATAACTAACAATTATGCCCTTATACCCCTCTGTACGGAGGAGGTCTTTGCCCACCAGTGGGATATGTATAGGTTAGCGTTAATTTATAATACTTTAAGGTTAACGTTTCCAATATATGTGTTTCTCCGTGAAATCACTTATGCAGGTCAACGTGCACTAACTTTGACCTAATGGATTTATGGCGGCAGTAATATTTAACAAAAAATTTTCATCGTTGTTACGAAGTCTATGAAGGTTGTAACGGGTGCGATGTCTTATCGTTGTCTAAAGTGAGCCTGTGGGAAACGAAGTGACCTGGTATAGTACCACAAAAAAGCGGGGAGCAAGCGTCATTATTAACTGCGGGTATGCTCGTGTACAATGCACTGGTATATATATTGTATGAGTATACTGGTACACTTGTACACACCCAATGCATTGAGGGCGGCCCATGGCAACCATACATACCTAATCCAAACCATGGCAACCATACATACCTAACCCAAGATAAGATTTTGAAAAGATTCAAAGCATACTTTTCAGGGAACGCCCAGGGAAGTACGTTTTAGTGACAAATTATGGTATTAGCGTTACTCACTTTCAGTACGTAATTGATGCAGGTCCCTTTGTGGGGACACGCGTCACTTCTGCCGTGTATCCCCATCACTGGCTTCCCAACTTCCTTAGAAACGCGCGGCGGTGTGAAGAACCTTTGCAAAATTCAAATTAAACATATCTTTATTCAATAAAAAAGCATTACAATATGTGATAAGTTGGCAAGCGAGCAAGCGTTTCACCTAATGTTATCGCCGCATGGACATGTCTAACTATGGGTTGCAAATGATTTGTCCACCATCAAAGAAGTGGGACCAGGCAACCTCACTCACCGGGATTTTCTACAAATTTCAATGTGTTATCTTAAGTGCAGAGATTAGCACTATAAAATTTTAAATTTCTAGACCGGCTAAGCTTTGGCAAACCTTCTTAGTGAATTTCCATGAGGCTCAGCCATAGCGAGCCTAGTTTAAATCAAACCCAAAACGCGGGAATTCGTTTTCTTGGCTGGATCGTCCACTTTTGGCCTTTACAAATCCATCAGGCTTGAAGTGGACGGGCGCTGAGGGCGCCTGAAGTGTACCTCGTTTATATGAGACTAAGCTCGAGGGCTTCCGAGGGAGCCTCGGCTAGCCCCGTCACTTTATTATCAAAATCACAAGTTTGGGAGGCCGCCAAGCTCTTAGGTCGCTTTGGCGCACGCTCCATGGAGTATCTACGTGCAAGGGTCCTCGAGAGCGGACCTCGGCTTGGGCTGTTACTCAGAGATTAGCATTCCGATTCGAGGGTGCCCGTAATGGCCGGACTTCGAAGCTGTTATCTGACTAGTCACGGGACTCCATGGCGGATGACGCGGTCGTCAATTGTTAGTTATACAACTCGTGGATAGTGCAAAAGAATATCGATTTATTTCTACTAATTTTTTTTTAAAGATTTGAACTGATGACCTGAAATTGTTGAAATTGTGAATTGATGTACTCAGTACATGACAATTTCAGGTCATCAGTTCATGTCATGAACTCTGAACACGCAAGAGCAGACAGGCAAACATCAATTGAAACTATTTAAATATAATACTATTCGTCGTCTAATTAGCATATTAAATTGTGCTACGACACATAGTATTAATGTGTTTTTGTAAACTTTAGTAAAAGTGTTCTAGTTTCGCAATTTCTCAGAGTATTTAACAGTGTATTTATTGAAATATTTAGCCGTGACATATTTTAAACTCTAGGAGCTGAGTTCAATACGCTGTTGTTAGTTATATAATCCACTTTTAAAATTATTACCTTGCCTCATTACATTTCATCAACGCTTAACTCATCCATCGGTCATTATCTTATGCAGCAAAATGTAATACAACAAGTAAATGCGTTGTGACTGGCAAAGCGAAACTTTGGATTCCTAAGAATTTATATATTAATATATTGTGCAATATTGACAGCGTTAAAAGCGATGAATCTAATCCGTTAGGTACAAAAATGAAAACACAGTAACGAACAAAAACTCACAAAAGTCAGCGAGGTTTTAACGGCGAAATAACTTAACGCGTCGATTGAAGATCGATCAATCATCAGTCAATTTGAATCGTACGATCGATAATTACATGAAGCAAACAAGAAAGAGATGAGATGGCTATATCTATGTGCAGAAGGTCGGTGATTTTACCGAGGCCCGTCAAGTCCCGGGTAAGTAATACGGCATCACAAAAGACCCGCGTGAAGTGGAGTATATTTAAATATGTAAGACACATTAATAAATAAGCATTTAAGACACATTTTTACACAACGTTCTTAAGTCCGAAATTAAGCAACACTTGTACTATGGGCACTAGATAACTGATAAACACGCTTAAACATAATTTTCTTAGGTAAATAAATACCTATTATTAATATATAAACACTCAGACACTGGAAAAACACTATGTTCATCACACAATATTTTCCAGTGGTGGGGATCGAACGCACACACTCTGGCGCAAGGAGCAGGTACGTTACCCACTACGCCAATCGGGTCATCACGTTTAGCGTTTCGCCTGGTGAGGACGAGGCCCAGCTTTTGTAAAGGTTCATATACGTTTCGAAGGGAAACCAGTTTTTTTTTTTAAGTTTGTCAACACAACTGCAAGTAGACAGTTATTGTATATTCTATAATCAGGGGGTATAATCATATAAGGGGGTAGGTAATCACTTAAAAACAGAAAACCATCTGATCGCTTGTCAATTTTCTTCAAATTTCTATATTCTATATTCTTCAAGTAGATGTATTGTTAGATTGTAATAGCATTAGTAGATTTGGATAATTATTCTACATGAAAAATAAAAAGAAATAGAGTTCATCTCTGAACTTAAGATGAAAGATTAAATTTTGTAGAAAAAAACGGACGAATTTTTATCTGGATTCTGTAATCTGAATATGTCTGGAATCTGAATTCTTAATCTGGATTCGCGTCCAGGCGCTTTAATCAATGAGCTGAACGCTTGGTTGCCACAACGACGAAAATCTCAGCGAATGTTTCTATATTGCTTTTTTGCATTTTTAAGCATCACTCCCCGCATATATTGGTATATCCTTTACAGCAGACAAATAATTTCAAATATTGTTTTACAGCGATAATTTGAACGAGAGATGTCGTTATTAGAAAATTTAAATTTAATTTCTTTTAGTGCTAATGTCTGCCCTTAATCTATACTACTAGATGCTACGCACTTACCAAAAGAGTGGCGTTCGTTTACTGTTCTCTCTATCGCGCCTCATCAGATAGAAAAAGACAGCATTGCCCAACATGAAAATAAGAGTCTCCTTGCCTGGTGAACGCCGGAGCCATCCTTTCATTTCCAACGTCCTTAACCAATATTCAAAGACCTGTTGCAAAGAAAAGAACGAATGCTAGAAATGTGTAAATTTGTTAAATAAATCCTTTTTACGGATATTTTCGCGTTAACTTATGGTTTTTCATTACATTTCGTATAGCAATAAACAAGAACCGAATAGAAATGCATAGCCATTCTTGATAATTAATTAGTTCGAATAACAGATGCTATAAATTTCAATGCGCTTTCGATTCTTTTATTACTTTTATCTTTGATTTATCTCTCTCTTATAATCATAGTTTCAATAATATTTAGTCTAAAATACCTGATACAATATTATTGATATAATACTAGTAAACAATTAATCTGGGCTAAATGCCACTATAAAACGCTTTATTAAAATTTATGAGACATACAATAAACAAATGATGTTGAGGTAAATGACGCTGTTAAAGACGGCAAAAGGAAACATACAACGGTGCTATAATTACGAAACAAGTTAATTCGACTCTATCCTCTAAACGTTTATCGATAATATTGATTACGTATCCGGTTAACTTGGATAAACTAAGCACGATACGGAATGCTTGATAAGAAAATACTTTTCTAATCGCTTAACATTAACGCCTCCTGCATTTCCTAAACCTTTCACGCTAATTCATACTGCAATAACTATCAATTGTGATATTTATCACTGTGGTAGGGCCACGCAACCCGATTCGTGCAACAGTGTTCGCCGTTGCACGAATTGGGAGATCCATACGGGGAAATAGCTGCGAAAGACAGGCGTGGAGTGGAAGTATTAAATTTTTGCGTTATGTAACCGGGGTCCACTGTATGAAAAGGTGGCAACGCATCTGCAAACAGATGGTGAACCGCCACACAGTGGGTCGAAACTGATTTTTTGTTGCAAATTCCAGTAAAAAAGTCCTATCGAAAGATCTCGTCACACTATGTTGGCGCGCCAGCTCACTTGCCACCTTCACACATTATAAGAAATACAAAAATTTTAATTATGGTGTTTTGGTAAATAAACTAACAAACTTGAATGTTTTGTTCGGAATTTGTTCATTTCGTCTAAAATGCGAATAGCAAACCAAATCTATAATAACACTTTGTTATGATCATCAATTCAGTCTGTTCTAGTCCACTGCTGAACATTGACCACAGACTTACGAAGCACGGTCCTGAGCTATCTGCATCCATCGTCTTCCTACACATTTGCAAAGGCTCTATCGTAATGGGGTGGGAGGGGAGGTCCGACCTACACTTTTTTTTTTCTTTTCTTCTTTTTAAAAACATTGCCCTTACTTTAGGATAACATTATCCTGTGCTGTAAAGACGTTTTATAAACATAATTTCACGCGAACAAACACCCAGATGCGAAATAACTATCTGTGGGTCACACAAATAGTTGTCCCTAGTTGTCGAAGAAACATTTTCCGCTGTATCAATAAATTTATGACAGTGAATCTGAACTAATAAATCAAGGAAATCATACCAAATTGACGAATAGATTGACAACCATAACTCTCCGGTACGGTGGCTCGAAGTACACGGCAAGCCCACTCACTGTACATGGCAGAAGCACGGTTGTGTAGTAGGAAAACTTGCTGAAGAGCAATGCCCTGGCAAGAGAAACTTACGCTTATAGACGGTAAATAAAAAAAAACAAATATTAAAATAAAAAACGAAAAGGAGAAAGTAATCGTCATGACCCGTGGTACTGTAAAGCGTTTGAAACGTTAGACATTAAAGTTGTACATGATAATATCTCCGTAAACAATGTTTTATTAATAACAATACTAGAATGTAGTATTTATTGTTCATTTCACTTTATAAATGTATTGCTTGTAACTAAGGTAAGACCGAGATTTGGGTCTCGGTCTCAGCCCCAGTCCCAATCTCGGTCTGGGTCTAGGTCTCGGTTCCAGTGATTCCCAGCAAAAAATCAGGCTTAATAATCCTCGGAATACTCGCTAATGGCCATGGCCATTATCATGGTTCTAATAAATTACATTCACCCCACCAAAAAGCATCGCTAGTGCAATTGTACAATTTGTTTTTTATAGTTTAAAACACACAATAGCATTTCTACTCTATAGAAGAGCTTATAGCAGCTACATGATAAGACGAAAAATTTTTTAACGATACAACGCTGAAAAATTACTTTTGTTAATTTATATTACAGTTTAATTTCGATTACTAAGTGAAGTACGGTAATAAGCGAACACGACTTTGGTCTGACGATCTAAAACTGCTGAACTCCGATTATCATGGGTTGACAATTGATGAGCTAAACAAATGCATGAGCAAGAATTAAAGTGAGGAAAAAATTACATTAAGGGATTTGAGTACACCCAGTTCAATCAGAACATCGAATGACATTTCACGAAAGGCCTTTATTTGAAAAGGGGTTACAGATTTCAGAAAATATAGTCCCCAAATAATTCTATTTCTCCAAAAAATATGGAAAAAATTTTTTTTAACATGTTCAATATTTCCTCTATGAGGAAAATTTGCAGGAGAATAAAATTGACCCGGCAGACTACTTTGTTAGATTTCATGAAGAACATTAAAATATGTTTGGATTTGATTGTGTATGTTTATTAATCATAATATTTTTATTTAATTATTCCTTTCTATACTCTTTGGTTACAAATAAAAATAATTTTTATGTTTTATATGACAAATTAATTCATCATATCCTTAAAGTCAAAATACAAGGCAAAATACAACTAGTGTTGAGTTTTTAAATTTTTGGATATGAATATTAAAAATTAAAATACACTATTATAATGTAATTATATATGTATAAAAAATTTTAATATTAGTACTCTAATTACTTTTTTCACAATCAATGTTGAACATACCGTATCTTGACATTTACTACATGTAGTTACTACATAAGAGTTTTAAATTAACATGTTTCTGTCAATAAATAAAACTTTTAGTAAAATAAACAAGTACTCCTCAAAATAAGCATTACTTGCTTCCTTCAGCAATCATATTAATACATGATTACTGAAGGAAGCAAATATATATTAATATGATTGCTGAAGAATATTAATATATACACTTAGTTACTTTTTGAATTATTCAGGCAGTTTATAGTATGTCATATTTATGTAAAAAAGTTATAAAATACAATGTCAGTCTTTGATAACAATGCTGTCCCAAATTTGTGTTACATAAAAACAATGTAAAATACTCCTTTGTGTGAAATCCACTTGGAATACATTTACATAAATTACTGTTTTCTGAGAAATTTCAATACTCAAAAACCAATATAAATAGTAGAAATTTGTTCAGTTTTTTATAGTTCAAAACACACAACAGCATTTTAAGAGTTCTTAGTATCCAAAAATGTTCAGAGAATCAAATTATTCAAAAATTAAGATCAAAAAAACATCTTAATAATTAAGGTTTTGCTTTAGAGATGAAAAGCAGCTGTGGTAGGGCCAAGTAACAGCTTCTTGCAAAAATGTGCAAGCTCGTCCAGTGAAATAACACAGTCTCACAGAAGGTAGGTGTGAAATAGAAGTAAATATACTTTTTTGGTGACCATGGTGAGTGAAAATAACTGGGGCCTTTTTTTAAAGGTTGTCCACACATCCATAAGCCCTCAGGTGTTATAGACCTCCATTGGCGGCAGTATTCACTTAACATGGAATTGTCTAAAACCTTTCAGTGTCCTACATCAAAGTTATAGAACATTTATTTTATTCTATTTATAATTTATGTAAGCAGAGAATTATGACAGAAATGTAAATACATGAAAGAATTTGTACAAAGGCCCTGCTTATTTCTTAATAAATTTCTTCCAGCAGCCCTGTGATTGGAAACATTGTAATTAACTCTTCCCTTACTATATATTTATTCAAAGTAAATTAAACACAATCATAGTTAATCAAGTTTCTAAAAAACAAATTTTCTTAACGTAATTACCTGAAAATGCAGTTTAATGTAACAAATGAACTTCCCACGGTCAGCCCAAATATTCCTGATTTTAGATACAATTTAAATTGCTCAATTACTTCCTGTTTTCCTAATTTTTTTCCTCTCATCAATATTTGTATCTGCAAGGAAAAACATTAATATTATTTGTTTACACAATAAACTTATATTAAGGCCGCACTGCAACTTCTACTCTTGCATGACGGCAAATGCATCAGTAGTGGAAAAATTATACTTTCCAGTTTGGTTAGTTTACAGGATCTAATTATTTAAATATTGCCTTAGCATCAATAAGTGGCCATAACCCTTTAACATTGGGAACACATACTTGCTTGATAACTTTCAATAAAAAAATATGATAATTTATATATCATCATCATCAGCCGCAAGACATCCACTGTTGAACATAGGCCTCCCCCTTAGAATGCCACAACGAATGACACTTTGATTTTGAATCCACATATAGTGATTTAAACATAGTGATCTATTATTTATATATTGTAAGTTTAAGTATTTATTTACACATTTATTCTTAATTGTTCATAATGTTTATTATGCATAGCTGTGTAACATTCTAATAAGCCTACATTCTACTGTACCATTTATGTCACCAATCGTTTTGTACATCAAAAATATCAGAATGAATATATTACCAAGAATTAACTTACGAGGTACACCATGGCATAGAACTTATAACTTCCTTTAATACAACTAAAAAGCATAGTTGCTGTGGCATCCGTACATTTTTCTGTCCAAGGATGAATAAGAGTGTTGCATGGAGCATGACTGCAAGCTTTCTCAAACCAATGTTTACTTGCTTCCACCATTTTTCAGCACAATATTTTTGCAACTTTGAATTTGATAGATATAGATAGTTTAATACTGTTTATTTGAAGTATAATAATAAAATACACAGAACTCTAAATTGTGCCCTAATAATTAATACACCACGTTTCACTGTTATTACCCTAAACTAAAAACTAGCAAAGACTCAATGAGTGCCTTTAGTTTAGGCTGCGAAGACAGTGAATACATTGATATGCATTGATGTCTAAACCCTATTCGAATGGTTTTCCGTAGAAAATATTGTCAATTACCAATCCGTCACATAAGTCACTGTCAATGTCAGATAGTCAATAGTTCAGAAGTCAATGTATTCATACATACATATCATTAAAGTAGCAACATATTTCCAAAAACACTTCTAAATACAGTTATTTACTGTATTTATGACACACTATTGATATACAGCTGGATCTTAAGATAACTTTTGATTTTAAATTAAATTAATAATTTGTAAGTGCAATGTTTTTTTTATTACCATTATTAAAATTAGGTTGTACAATATTCACTTTCCAATTACAAACGCAATTAATTTCCCTATTTTCCAATTTGGTAAAGCAGAAAACTTCGATATTTCAACAAATTCTAATTTTTGTTTTTGTCACTGTGAGAGAACTAACCCAAAATGATTCCTAAATAACGATTTATGAACTTTAACTAAAACACAAAAACTGGCTAATTTAAATATCGTGTTAGAAATGCATTTTTAATGCTATCTTTGTAATGGGACCCCTTTGTCCTGCTTTATGAGTCGCCCGCATGGGCACAAACTGCCTTGGCCAATCTGAAAGTCTTTGGACTCAAGTTGGCTGGAGCAAGGAAAATATATTTAGGTAGGGACTCTCGGTTAACCCAGACTTGGATGTGTGTGTGAAGCAATGCAATCCATGGCTCATCTGGTCTTCTTTCCTGCCTGCCCTTAAACCTTTTCGCAGCAGGATTTAATGGACGCCATGAATTGTGGAGTCAAAGTGGCTAAGTTCTGGCCCAGAATGATTTAATTGGTCTTCGGCACGCAAAGATGAAGAAGAAGAATGCTATCTTAGTTAATATGCGGTGGCCACTTCTAATTCAAATAGAATATTCCTCTATGAAATAATTGAATAAATTCAATATAAAACCTGAACATAATTATGTATGTAAAATACATACAAAATCACGATCCCACCTAATTGGGGTCGGCATAGCATGTGAATCATAACTTGTTACAAATAAAGGTTAGTTTTCCACGAAGAGCTGACTACCTAACGTCAACCCTCCTTGTACACAAATATACAGTTATCTTTGGGTCACTTAAATACTTGTCCCTGTGAGGGAATCAAACCCACTGTCCATGGTGCTGAAGCCAATAGCTTAGCAGCTACGCTAACGAATAATAAAATGATACATAAAAGTAAATAAAGGTGTTATCCCATAATGAACGTAGTATTAAAATAATCAATAAAAGTTTTGTTACTCATTTAACACTAAAACGTATTTATTGATATTATCAGTTACGTTTATATTCACTTACAACACTGATGCCATGTAGTGGTGTCCAAAACATAATCGATCCTCTGAAACACAACTTCAACATTGTGTAAAAAGCTTTTAAACAACTATCAGTATACGGATGAAGAAGACTTGCACATGTAATTTCCTCTATGCTTGATTGCTTCACCATAAGTTTGCTAACTTCAACCATTGTAAATATCTCGTTATTAAAATTATTATATTTTAAACGAATGGTCCTATACTGAAACGTTTCATGTTATCCGAGGTAATTATAAATACCAACTGTTTTTATCAATTGATTTCAAAATGTCATGGAAGAATTGGCATTAACATAAATTTAAATTCAATACAAAGCTTTCGTTTTCACAACGAAAATCGAATAATGAACCGATTTAAAAATGATTACTGATTCTAAAATGTGAGTGTAGACAAACAAACCCAAATCGCAGCAGCGACAAACTTAAATTTGAAGTACTTTGAAATTAACATGTATTATTGGGTTGTTCCTGTTACAACAATAACTACCATTTAATTTAAAGATTTATCTCACGTTAAAATAGTTTGGAAAATAAGTAATGCAAAATGGAGTGTTAATTAAAAAAAAATTAAATTTACCTATTCTTTTAAGCTGTAATTTTTATTTCTTTAATAATTTATAGAAATAAAACATTATACAACTCTGTACACGTCCTAGAACCGAGACTAATTTATCCTTCTTATTTATTACCTACTAAAATAGTTCCTAGAAATAATCTATATTATTTGTTGCCCATGTCCAGGAATCAACAGATATGGTGATTTCATATGCGCTCGAAGTGTAGACTCAAAAACGTCTCAATTGTCTCGTCTTTAATTCACGTTAGGTAGGGCAACGAGTAAGACGATAAAAATGCTGTCGGGTGTCTTTAAAAGATGTACTAAGTTAAACTGACCACTTTCTTTCTAACTCAAAACGGGACATTGATTTACAATGAAGACATTACTTTTTAATTTTCTTTATTCCGAAAAGATTAAAAATTAAAAGATAGAAAAAAAGTCATCAGTTCACTTTTAGTTAGTTTTTTTTATTAAAACAACATTGGTATGTTTTTAAATATTTTTATATTTCTCCGAGAAACATTTTTTTTTTTTTAATAAACAAGGTGTCGATTTTAAATAAGAATAAAATTTGCCAAGTTTCTTTTATGTTGTCCTTTGTTATCAGCCTTCAGAACTGGAGCTGTTCAATATCACCAGCACCACTATGGGAAACACTAAACTGTGAGACACTTTTCGCATCTGACGTCCGAACGAGTGTTAATTTGCTTAAAAAAAAGAAATTTTGTTTGTAGGTTGACATTAAATAAACACTTGGGTTTCCGGTTTCGACATAACTATTGGAAAATTTTCAAAATATCTTCAAAACTATTTAACGAACATTACACAAAAACATGAAGAAGTCGGAATATCACCTTACCTAGCAACTATTTTTAATATTTGTATCAATCGTGGCGAATTTCCTGACCTTATGAAACATAGTAAAATCATTCCGGTGTTTAAATCTGGTAGTACTTCCGACCCCAATAATTTTAGACCTATCTCTGTACTGCCAACTCTTAGTAAAATTTTTGAAAAAAATCATGTTGAATCAAATGTTACAACATTTTAGCTCTCATAATTTACATAACAAGCAATATGGGTTTACTAGGGGTCGCTCAACAACTGATGCGGGTGTTCAGCTCGTTATGAATATTTTTGAAGCCTGGGAAAAGTCGCAGGATGCCTTAGGAATATTCTGTGACTTAACCAAAGCTTTCGATTGTGTACAGCATGAGACCTTGGTCAGGAAACTACGCCACTATGGTATAAGAGATGCCGCACTCAATCTTCTGAAATCGTACTTGAGCCATCGAATTCAGAGAGTTGACGTGAATGGCAAGAGATCTCCCGGGGCCCTGGTAAATATGGGGTTCCCGCAGGGATCTATTCTTGGGCCTTTTCTCTTCCTCATTTACATAAATGATCTACCTTATCTTGTTAATAATAATCATGAGATAGTATTGTTTGCGGATGATACCTCTTTAATCTTTAAAGTAAACCGACGTTCTTTAAGTTATGACAATGTAAACAATACTCTATCTACTGTAGTACATTGGTTTAGTGCTAACAATTTACTGTTGAATAATAAAAAAAAACTAAATGTATTAAATTTACAACTTCCTCCAATGTCCCCTATTGACTCAACTGTATTCCTTGGCATAACTATTGATGCCAAACTGCAATGGGGCCCCCATATTAATAGACTGGCGAGTAGACTTAGCTCAGCAGCTTTCGCGGTCAAAAAAATAAGACAGTTAACTGATGTAGATACGGCTCGCTTGGTATATTTTAGTTATTTTCACAGTATAATGTCTTATGGCATTCTGCTTTGGGGTAACGCGGCCGACATTAATACAATCTTTATCTTAAAAAAGAGAGCTATCGTGCAGTTTACAATCTGGGCCCCAAAAAATCGTTAAGAAGCTTGTTTAAAGAGATAAAGGTATTGACTGTTGCTGCTCAATACATTTTTGAAAATGTTTTGTATGTCCATAAAAATAAGGATACATTTTTAAGACATAATAATGTTCATGATATAAATACTAGGAACAAAAATAAATTGATCCTACCCACAAGTAGATTCCGTAAAATAAGTAAATCTTTTATGGGACAATGTATACGTTATTACAACAAAATTCCAGAAGACGTTCAAAATGCATCAATAGCTAAATTTAAAAAAATAGTAAAAGAACGTTCGTGTGTTAAAGGCTACTATAATATTAATGATTATTTAAATGATAACACACTCTGGTAATAAATTGATCGCTCCAGGCTCTTTCAATCGGAGTTCTTATATTGTATTTTAACGAATTTATGTCAAACTGCTTATTTAAAAAAAAAAGCCCACTGAGTTTCTTTCGCCGGTTCTTCTCAGTACAGTGGCTTTCTTTTCCGAACCGGTGGTAGTGTTTTGATTATCAATAAGTGAGTGTAATGCTCCTATGTTGAATAAATACATTTGATTTTGATTTTGATTTTGAATACATGCGCGTGGCTAGCATATTGAAAGACATAAAGTCTCCTTCCCTCTCCTTCTCACCGCGTTACTAGGTCGATGACCGAGAACGCGTGCATGTGGGGAATAACCGGGAATAACCGATAGCGGTTCCGCGCTGCTCATGATCATGTCTGAAGAGCGTGGTTTTAAAATTTTGCGCAGTTTCGGAAAACGGGACTATTTTGCGTCCCGAAGATTTGTTCGGGGACAAAGGGACAGCCGAGATAAGGGACAGTCCCGTTCAAAACGGCACGTATGGTCAGTTTAACTAAGTACGACTCTAACGCCCGGTTTGTGAAACACTGATCATCGTAGAAGTTAATTAATCAGCTGTCAAATGGCTTTTCAAATGTTATTTAAGTTGCCAAAAGGATGGTCTAACTCTCTGAATTGATCAGAATGATCTTCTTAATGATCAAAATGATCAATTTAAGGAGTTTAAGCCATTTGACAGCTGATTAGTTGACTTCAACGATGATCAATGTTTCAGAAACCATGCGTCAACATATGTTCATGATATAAGATGGACATAATGCAATATATCTTCAGTAGTATATTTCAATTATTTTACTAATTCCTTTAATTTACGTAGGTTACAAAACAAAGAAAGAGGCTGTAAATAAGGTTAATACGACAAGAAAGCCGCCACGATATTATTTACACTTTATGCTAATGTGACAATCACTTGCCGTTCCCTTTTTCTTATTACTTTAATTATGCTTTCCTTTTTATACCATTCGAACAAAACGTTGAATGTGTGCTGTCACTCTGTAGGGAACTTATAAGAAGTGAGAACTGAGAACACATTGAACTGGTGATTTTGTAAGCGTATCATATCTATAATAAAAAATATCATAACCAGGAATTTATCTATCTTCAAGGCCATGGGGCCACTAAATAAAAGTGACAAGATCCAGTTATTATAATAAAATTTCTCAGCTGCCATTTTTTTAATCATACTCGTAATGTAAATGAAACCAATATCACAAAATCTAAGGAAATCGCTTAACAATATTTGGACTTTGTTTTGCATTTTCTTGTTTTAACGAAATTGTCTACGGTTTCATTAAGCAAAAGTTCTAGAATTTGCCGCTTGAGGTAATTGTCGCTGCAGTCGGTAAATGGACGTTTGATGTGGTGTTTGTCAAGATTGTGCTATTGTGTGTTTACAGTGATTAACTTCTCGTTACTATACTCCTAATTGAAGTACACGCTTTTAAGGAGTAGATGAAGGTATGTAAAATTTTATTATAAAGTAATTTCATGTCACAAATAATCGGGAATATCCGTTGTGATTTGGCGCTCGGAAAGTGTCTTTGCGTCGACCTAACTCTTTATGTCAGCTGTATACAAAGATCATACGCATTTACTTATTAATCGTCAAAATAATGAATTAAAATCGCAATTTTATATCAAATTTAGTCCATTATAATCAACTCAGGCCTAATATGACTTAATCTTACCGTAATCTTTAGGTTTACCTCCTGAACGGCGGAGGTTATGGAGGCTCCTGGTGTCTGTGTTTCTCGTCCGAACATAGTTCATTATCGAAAGAAGTTTTTTTAGCAACCCTCATGACCCCTCTCGTTGCGTCGAAGGTACAATTTATCGTTCACACTATGTAGGAGTATTGGTATAATAACATTTACTATCAGTGTTTACTTAGATAAGTACAGAACAGTAATAACATCTGCATCTATGTTTCTCTTTCTACGTTAATTTGAGTCATTTTGGCGGTATAATGCGTTTGCAATGCGTCGTTTCTTAGACAATTCAATGCCAGATGGCTGTATCTCATTGTGGCCCTATTTAACTCAACATCAGTTTCACTAGACTTGTACAATAGGTAAAAGACAAAGTTTGTTTGAATATTTGCAAGTAATGACATATTTTCGCACCACCATTAATACTTTATATAATACTATTTTTAAGCAGTACAATATATTGTAAAAGTAAAAAGTATAATAGTGGTATTG